GTTTTTAGTAAACTTTATTTGTTATATTATGAACCACAACGATATGTGACGATAATTAACCTTCATTTTTAATTTATTGCCTTCAATATATACTTCAGATTAATTCACTGATTTCTTCAGTTCGCTAGTAAGCATTCACTTACCTGTAAGTCCTATATATAAATACGAGTACTAGACAATAAAATCGGAACACCATAATATTATCACATCTAACTAAACGGCTACAATATATCCTTCCATCTTTATACATCAATTGCTTCTATAAAATAGTAAACTTTACTAGTCACTTTCATGATCACTCTGTTTGCATTCTTCACTTTTTGTATTGCTTTTTGTTTCATTGTTGATTTCCATTAACTTTGTATTGATATCAAGATGAAGTTAAACAATTAGTACATAAAATAAATATTGAGTAACAACAGTAATTGGAATGTTTAGTTAGTAATTTTAACATTATGTGAACCATCAGTTAGTTTACTTCAGGTCTTCGTAAGCATTTCTTCTTCCATATTTGTCCATAGTTTGGTTGAAAGACAAGGTTTGGCCCCATATTTAACTTTCAATACTTTGGAAAACACCGACTGTCTCAACAAAAATGCTTGATAAATTGCTTTCCTATTCTTGTACTTAGTTTACTTAAGAGTCATACGTTAAATCCTTGATGAGAGATTTTTGATTGCCTCTAGGAAACCCACTGAAAGGCGCACATAATGTACATACTTATATTTCTTCAATCTCTCAAATAAAGTAACAAAAAACAAACTGAAGTATGATCAAGCGCATACAAAGTTGGCGAATGTAGAAGCAGTAAGTATAGAGAGGCTAAGAAACTAACTTTAAATTGAGTGAAAATCGAATTTGGCAATCAAAGTTAAGGAAAAACGTTTAACATATCTAACAAAATAGAAGGTTGGGTTCATGAAAGAATTGAAACCGTTCAATTACATATGGATTAATTACATCTTTCCTTTTCTCGGTTCTAGTCGTTTGGAAGTTTTGCATGCGCAATTTTCACAACATTCTTAACCCCAGATGGTGCTTATGTATTCCAATACACTTCCTGTGGAGCCGTTTGTCTAGTGGGTAAGAAGGTATTTTATATGTATGTACGAAATATTTCTATAGCTTGTACCTAGTACTGTTCAACGCGGATTTTAGGATGACCAATCTTTCGGATGAAACTTATTACAGAAACCAATGAAAGAGCTTCACAATGAGACGCTAAGCCAATACCACAGTTTGTATAAGATTCAGACTTAAGGATTTTGTTTTATTGATTTATGTTCCGACGGTCACTTTCAAGTTTGCAAAATGCAAATTTATTTATTGTGTAGACATAATGCAACCAACTTCTCAGTCATTCTTAGTTTAAAAACCGAATATTTTTATAAATACATTAAAACTGCTCAGTATTAAAACCTTTTGATCCAAGTAAGATGTATAAAAGGTGATTTAAGTGTATATTATACGGTTGAAACACCATCCGATTTTATGTTATTGTTGTGACTTGAAGTTGTTTGCAGATTAGATGCGCAGCGTATTTATCGATCGATTCGGTGACACGTAAAACACGTACGGACGACCTAGTGTTCTGATTGGTCCCGCATCCCTGTCTAACCCAGCCAGTTGTCTCCAGAACACAAGTCACAGCCTCTGAGATATGAATCATTGTATTTCAGACATACTCTATTTATATACTAACTAAACAGACCACATCGTACCATAAAAATAGAAAACAACATTTGTACAATATTTAACGAATGAAATAAATAATGGCCAATAGGAAATGTCCATTTAACGTCCAAGGACATCATTAAACTTAACATGATAATGATTGTCACATTATTCTGCATCCATAACAGTTATCTTTGTGAACACTGATAATGGCACTAAACTTTCAGTTTTGACAACATGTACAAGTAATTTTTATTTACAAACGAGTGAATATGAATTTTATGGTTTGAATGGAAGACAACGATGTATAGAGTGTTTAGCTAACTTGTAGAATAGTTGAATCATAAACGTTTATATTCTGAAACTTTACATATGTTACGTTTGAAAATCCTTATGAAGAAGAGTTAATTGGTAATAAAAGTTTAGAAATTACACGTTTTCGTATATTTACCTTACGGAATATATTTAATTATATAAATAATAAATGTCGTCGTAATCTTCAGGACCATTTTGATAAAAGAAAATTAATCACCAGTTTTTTTATCCATACGGTATTCATAACTGAATACAATTTTTGAGTAATACGCGAACAGAATAATTATCATGTTTTGTAATGGGAATTACAAAACAAATAAATTTTCATGAAAAGCTAACAATCGTGATTCTCGCTAGTCCTAAAGCTTATTTGGCAACACGCTTTCAATATCAAAGTCTTTTGTACCTTACTGAATGTATTTTGCATACTTTTTCTCATTTTAACATCTGTACGAACCATCATTGATGGATAAAAAGACGAATAGAGCACATGATTTATTTTCAATTAGATTTTAGTCCTGTCTTTACACTAATATATGAGATTTACAGTAGTAAATTAATCTTAACTGAGTAGTGTTGTTACACAATAAATTAGGCTTTATGATATTTATGACATTTCATCAAAATATTTTTTATTCATGACATATCGTTACGTAGTCTAAAAGATTTCAATTTCGGATGTCCCTATTTCTGCCATATATACCTAAATATAAATCCAAATGATCAACTTCTAAAGAAGCTTATTCCATCAGTTAGTATAATCGAACAAAAATAAACACAACTTATCAGAACGAATTTTAAACATTTTTCCATTACTTTTGGGATAAATTGTTGAATGTGTTTGAAATTATAGACTGAAGAATTCATGTCAAAATCAAACAATATAACGTTTATGTACATTAAATATTTTCAATTTAGATACAGTAATATTTTGTTTTTTACGTTTAGCGCTGTTTATCACATTGTGGATCGAGGATAGAAAAACACCAGAGAAATGTCAACTATGTGGATGTTTCGTTCGACGTTGTCTAAAATTACGAGTAAAACAACCGCTAAGTAGTCCACATGAACTACAAGCTCTTAGATCATAATATGAATGGTCGGTTTTATGATATTTAATATCTGCAGCTCGAATATATATATATATATATATATATATATATATATATATATATATATATATATATAATCTTTTAAAGTTCCATAAACCATAACGTCGTGCATCGTAGAGAAATTAGTGCACAATAGCAATGCTTTTACTATTATTATTATTATTATTATTATTATATTCCTGCTGTTACAATTGTCAATGATCTCTCGCTTCATTTGAGAATACGCCTTGTAACCAATATCAATTACGTCTACTCGTATAAAAGCCACTTTAATAATAATAGTCTTTGTTTTTCTTTGATACAACTTTAATTTATTTTTTTGTTGTGATATTCAATTTGATAAAAAAAACGTTTGTCATTATTTCGAATGAAGGTTTAAATAAAATAAGAAAATATTTCACATCATAGATATTAATATAAATGTATTACTTCATACTGAGCCTCAGTTTTTCACTACAGTCACTATAAATGTTAAAATATATACCAATAACGTAAGACATATTTAACGAGAAACAACTTCCGGAAATATGTAGCCTGTAAATACCTGCCATTGATGCTGACCATGTTATTTTCAGCTTACACTGCTTGTTGAAGCTGATCAGTTCAACATCATGACAATGTTCCTGCACAGCCTACTTTAGATGCTTTCCTTGATCCAGAAAGTTATCCTAATAGACATGCCCGTTTATTTCTGAATCCGTCAAAGTAAATGTTATCTCTCAAATGTTTTTTTCTTGATTATCTTTGAACTGTCTTGTCTGGAAGATACCATTAACAGAATCCTTTGACTTTGTCTGAGATATAGTAATATTTGTTATATATATAGCTACTGTAAGGAAATGATTTAAAGGGCATTTTATTTATTCATTAGCGAAAGGCATTAAGTTTACGATACAATGATAATAAAGCAACAAGATAGTATGAACTTGTGAACTGGAATAAATAGTAGTATCTGGTTAGGTGTATGATACAGAAATACCGGGAGCTGTCCAAAATTTCACATGATGATGATGGATTCTTGTCAAGACAGTGCGTACCATTGAGTACAAGCAATTCCCATTTCGTGCAAATACCGTAGAATCTGTTCAGGCTGAGACCGCAATTAAATTTATACGATATTTGACCGTACAATAAAATATTTTGCATAAAAATGACAGGGAATTCTTTGCTGCAAATGTCTCTTCATTTTGGCTCTACAACAAGAGATATAAATAAAACAAATGTCAGCTTATTAAGTCCAGTGCAAACATTTTGCAGATGAGCTACTTCAGGACCGTTTACTAAACTACAAGTAATTCCCATATTCATCTACAATCGAGATTAATTAGTAAATCATACCGATTTCTGTTCTCTCTAAGGGACGACCAAAATGTTTAGATTAATTTTATGAAGAATTTCATAAAAAGCAGACATATATCCTCATGGCGGTCATGTTTTTGTAACTTGTACACTATTGTGGTGGTACAATCTCAGTTGACAGAAGTTGCTTTCCTTCAAACAAAGCAAATGAGTAAATTAACGGCTTTGTTTCAATAGATACGTGTGGGGTTTATTACTTAGACCAAAGTTGCTGGCATTTTATTTCAAATCATTTAGTTAACTTACTTTGTTCACATCCAAAACTTCAGATAACACACAGGCATAAGATAATAATAAGTCTGACTAACATCAGATGAATAGAACCAATGCATTGAATAAGTATGTTAGTATTGTCTAGTCGGATGAAGAAATATGACGTTATAAAATCTAACCATAGTTTAAGATATTGAGGTCTATTTTCGGAGGAAGTGTAGTTTCTGCACTATTTTTGTCGATGATATTTCATTTAGATTCATGATTTACAACATCATAGTGCTAGCACGGTTGCATGATTGAGTAAAACGGTTCTAGATAGATGGGTTATTTATTTGAGTAGAATAATGTACAGTGACAACTCAGAGGTGGGTTATACGGACGAAAGTAGACAATATTCATTGCATGTTCAGGTGTTAAATACAGATCTGATTTTAGTACACTTCAGAAAAGCGTAAACTACGCTATGACAGAAACATACTTGAGGGGAATGTGATGACCACTGTAATTTCCATATGAAACTTCCCTTTCCTTTGTATGTCGATAAATTACCAATGTTGCTTTAGTTATTGACATGATTATATCTGGATAATGTCAAATCCTAAAGATAATAATAATAGGGCTTATCATCATAATCTGCTGGCTGGTGTGGACAAAAAATTTAGACCATCTTATTGTGGGTTTTGAGATTAGTTGTATAAAACGGAGCGCCCACAAATATCGGACATGGAAATAGACACCAGGACAGCAATCACAGAACAAGCATTCAATATCTGTACTAACAAAAACATCTAGGACTGAGAGTCATTACTAGGAAATAATTATGCAGCAGCTGATGAAGAACTTTAAATAATATATTTACTACATCAAGCTTGCTGACTCTACGATTAGTCTAAGTTTTGAACACTTCATTCCGTTTTGGTGGAAAACACCCAAGCGCCTGGTCCATATCTTATTAAGGATGCTGACACACCTGACCATGTTCATAGAATGTGGAATAAAAGAGAGTGTAGATCACCAACGTAGATGATCTATGTCGAAATGATTGGAGGCCTACTCGAGTTAGACATGAATGGTGTGACAAACTAGCTAATGTCGAAGTCACACCTTGTGGTCAGCACCTTACGTGGACTACCCCATTGACGTATCACGGTACCATAGATGCTTTGAAGACTGTACAACACAGAGGACGTTATCACAGAAATATATTAGTTAAGGTAGATACAAGCGAAAGTAAGACCACTGCCGCATGGGCCACTCCATGGCGTATGATTAACTAATGCGCGTTGCTTGTACGTGACCTTGGCAGGGAGCGATGATCTGTTCGACATCCAGTGATCCAACTGCCGGATGATTTGGCTAGGACTCAGTGACATTTTACTGGCCCTACAAGAGGAAGACTTATTCAAGCTCTTAAACAAGGAAATAAAACCCAAACCGATTCACTTTTTATCTTATCTTAGAATGCAATGAAATCTTTATTTAAGATTCGGCAACTAAATTGATATCTTCAGTGTTTTCTTACTTTCTTCCTATGCTCTTTTTAAGATCAGTCACTTTAAAAGCTATAGCATGGAAGTTTAAAAGCCTCAGTTTGACAAACTCGGTGTAGGATTCCGTTCTAGCAATCGAGTGGTCAATTAGTGAGAGTCTCTACACGGACAAGTGGTATCTGCGACTCTGGAAATAATCTTAAATGTCAACTTAATTAATGAAAACTGAAGTTAGTCAAATTCTTATGAAGAGTGACCAGATCAGAATAAGCAGATTTATGTGATTAGGAAGTTTTGAAGTCATTCGCTTTTAAGCTCTGTTCCAGAAACCGTATTTTATAAAACTTGGTGATAATAATGATAATAATTACAAACATCTTATGAATACATAACTGTTGGGTTGAGCGTGCTTATAGAGTCTGACGTGACTTCGTTGATCTTCCAACAATAACCAGAAACATCCAATTTTCCACGGCCATGTTTGAATGTTTAAACATTCCTGAGGATATAGACTGCGTCTTTACCCTCTTCATAGACAAATATGCAGTCCATTGAGGAGGTGGATAAATCTCCAAAATCACTAGCTCCGTAAGTCTTTGACGTTTGATGCTGACTGCATAGGTTTTAATGGACTCACTAAGCTGAAGGCGCTCGGTTATGCATTCGCAGCAGATCACAAGTGAGTACGCCATGCTTCACTACTTTTACAATCGCTAGTCAGCTTAGATTGATAGCTTGTCACTTTATCGATAGCCAATCAAATACATCTTCGTGCTTCTTCTCTTCTGATTTCTCCGAGTTGGTACGTTTTGATTAGCAATGGTGTTACTGGTTAAGGTTTTGTGGAACTCCGAATATTTCTTTCATCTTTAAAGTAGTCATACTAATGTTAACTTACTGCGGGGTAGGTCAAGCTGTCTCGATAAACTGCTCTTTACTTTGTTTTTTGAATCGAAACATACAAACATCCATTTTCTCACAAAAACAAGACGTTTGGATAAGTAACTGGATCCACATGAAGTTGCTTTGATGGAACGGTCAAAATGAACGTTGCGAATTTACGTGATTCTCAGACCTTATCCTTCTATAGCACATATAATTTTTCTTTTTCAAAATTTTGACCTTGAGTACTTCCTTCTTTGATTGTTTCACATTCTACTCTCTAGTCTATTAGTGGCATGCACAGGAATAGCGCTGCAACCAGTACCTACACTATGACCAGAAAAACGATTAGAATAGTCAGAGATCGAAATTCGGTGTTTAATAATAACTACGAAATTTCTCCTCTCTAGCAACAGAATGGTGTAAAAAGACCCACTAACGGAAGTGATAAAGTTTAAGTTTTTCGCTCAGTTGTAAACTATCGGATTGATCATTACCAGTGTATCTGGATCGTTTAACACAGCTTCAAACCGACACGGGACTGTGGGGCCTCAAGCTGGGTTCAAACACAAATGAACTCGCCAGACGCTAAAACCTAGGAATCTGCTAAGAGTGAGGAGCAGTGGTCAAGTGTTCAGAAGGGTACTTGGAAATTATAGCCTCCAGAATGTTGAAACTTCGTAACAAAGACATTAGACAGAAATCCTTTGTTTTATTTAGTGTCTCAGTTTTGAAGAGTAACTTAGTAGAATTGATGAAGAACAATAGGGCAAATGTGGCACAGTCCGCTTGTATTGGGGCTGGAACATAGTAAGAAGTAAATTCCCTCATTCGGGCATAACATTTGATTCAGCTCACGTTACAAAGTACATTTTACTGGCATCTTCGAGACCTTCGATTGACTATTACTCCCAAAACCAAGTTATATACAACAAACCGTGATACGTAACAAATGCCGCGTAAATTTCACCAAACACCCAAGAACCAACAAACATGGTGTTTCACAGAGCTCCCGAGCTAGTAGACGATGCTCACAAACACAACATACAATAGTGGCTTTGGCCATCACGTACCACAGACCTTCACACCATTACGGTAAAATACATGTCAAGGCAACCTCGTCAGGTAAACCTCACGATCATTAGATCTCCGCGTCTGATGGCTCAGAAATTCAGAAATCGAGGGGAACTAACGGTGGTCATCCAGGCCAAGTACGTCTCGAAAATCTGTCTGTTCAGTCACAAATGTCGTGAGGGCGGAATTTGGTTGATATGGCGACAGCACAGTAGCCCAGTTAAACACACCCTCGATAGCGATCAGCAGCGCATGGTGAAGAACACACACATTCTTTCTGATTAGACACGCTAAACTGCAGTATGCACTCACGAATAGATTACCATCTCCCTCTCTAACAAACTGCGCCTGATTCATGTCACATTTTTTATCACGATTGCCATTCCTGCATATCAGTTGCTATATCCTATGTTTCTTATTATCATTATTGTTCCCGTTCTTGTACTTTCAATTCCATCCTCTTCCTTGTTACCAATTAAATAACATAAAGACTACACTAATATTCATGGTATTACAACGACTTTGTCTGCAATACCTTATTATTTTAAACACAACGACCCAGTCGAACGAGAAGTCAGAAATGGATGAGTTCGAAGACATGTTCGTATGCTTATCGAGGTTTTGAGAATCGTTTGATTAAACCTGGGTAGTAGTTGTATGAGATACATAGCACGGCGTACTTACTCATGATTTGATGCGGATGTGCGACCGAGACCGTTCAACTAGGATGCATTCAGTACAACTAATGAGGTCAGCACCACTGTCAAAGACTTGCAAAACTATTTATTTTGTGGGTATATTTACCATCTCTAATTTATTATTCATAAATCAGTCTTCTCCTAGCACTCGAATTACCACCTTACTATTTTCACATGCAACCCACCAATCTACTGTCTGATAACTTCATAGCTTCTGGTGCCTTGGAACCCCACTGTCTTGAGAGAAACGCATTCAGTAAAATTACAAGATATACAAATCCAGATAAACCCGCCAAATTGAGTAAAATTAATGCAGTCGAGTGACTGCATTGCGATCGACTGGACATTACTAATTACTTAGAATCGCAGCCAGAGAATAAGAAATGAGCATAAAGGAATCAACAGGTTTATGCAAACTCGTGGCAAAATCATTGGATGTTGAATGCGTTCTTTTGTTAAAATTTACCACCAAGAGCCAAAAGTGACTGACACTATTACAAATGTTTTCCGCTAAGGTAATGTTTGTCAGCTGTATTCGTGTTGTGACTGAAATGTACGTTTGGTAGAAATGTTTAAAATTTTTATAGCATGCGAGGTGATGGCACCATTGCTGGATGCTTTTCGGTTTTCGGTGGATATTTGATCCACTTCACTTATGGTTATTTGTATTCTTTGAGTAAGTTAACCTTGGGACTTCATAACCTTTGTTTTATCAGCAAATATGGTACCATACATAATGGGATACCTGATAACTTTCATTAACCCACACCTCTGCGTCCAAACATCCGTTTGGTTTTCTGCAGTTTCTTTTGCTGTTTACGGCATCTTTATGCCACTTGGTGGATTTCTGTCGCGTAAAATTGGTTACCGACCGGTAATAGCTCTCAGTTGTTTGTTTCTCAGGTATTAAACGTTTAAAATAGGTATATGCGTTTGATTAATATTAAAACTATCGAAAACTTACTAAGTCATACACCTTATATTTGTTTTAACAATGATTATCAAAACGTTCACATAATAACAAAAATTAATTTTAAAAAATATCTCACAAACCTCCGTCGAACAAATCACTGAAGCCATTTCACAAGGTCAGAATAAATTCAAATTTATTTGGGCAAATTGATTTTCATTACAAAACTAAAGTAATTTTGACATTAAAAATGTATTTTAAGGAAAAAAGGTGGCCTTGTTTCTTGCTTGCCATAAAATGTATGGAAATATTAATTGATTGCACAAATAAAAACTTATTCATTGACTATTTTAACGACATACTTGTCATACGCCATAGACGTTCTTTGAAGCAAATATCAGTTTTGAGTTGTTATGTAATTCTCGTCAGTAAAATTAATTATGTCAAGTGTGCCAGTTAGGACTATGGTATTTTCAAAATGCTTTAGAGTAGCGATTGTATTGGATGTAAAATGCGGATTCTCAACTCCAAAATCTCATCACCATGTATTCTAGTATTCACGAATGTATCAGGATTAAGGATGGTAAGCACAGCTAACTAGTTGAGATATAATTTATTGAAGTTAAAGTTGCACCATTGAGTGCATACAATACAATTATTATATTTAAGAACAGCATTAGTTGCAGCACGAATACATGAATTTACGTAGTTTACTGAAACTTTATTGACTGTCTGTCTGACTTTGAATCAGGCATAAACATCATACTATCCAAAAAAATCTATCGACAATCGTAATTCAAACAGATCTGTCTAGGTCTTATAATTATATCTGATCCATTATGATAACTAGAAGTAGTATAAACTCCCAAAAGTGTTTAGTTAAAGACAGACAGGAATAGATTGGCACAAATCAAACCGTTAATCACATGTAAAAAGTTCCGAAATCAAAATGACTTATTTAAACGTGTGGATGGTTAAACCATCAGATCATTAAACAGACTGTTCTACTGAAAGGTGAAGTATAATATTTGGTATTATATGTGGCAAAGCTCATACAAAAACCACATATTGGCCTAATGTTACGGACTTCATCCTACTTAAAACAGTAGGCATTGGGAAATGCGCATGATTTTTGCGAGCGAAATTTACTGTAAGATATGCATTTGCCAAACATATATTCAACTTGTACAGCTGTTTTGTAGTTCTTTAATTAACATTATCTAAACTGTCCTCTGAACAATTCTGTGTCCAAATTTGATTAGGACAGCTAAGCAATGTACTGGAATCCTTCGACAACTTAAAAGCAGTTACACGCAATTTTTATTTGTCCGTTACCACAGTCTTAAGACTCTGAATAAAGCATTTAAGTGTTTCCTTTAGCTCATTTTGAACCTTTGGTACATTAATTCAAATATTGAAGCAATCATACAACTGACTGTGAGGTTTTTCTTTATATTTACATTTAGTGGGTTGTTTCGGCAAATTAAAAACAAAGTTATTGACTTTCTGTACAGTCTGACTGTTTCATTAAATCCTTTCTTTTTATGGAATTTGTAGTTTGTTCATTTAACGTGATTTAATGGTAACTCTTCGAGATTTTGACAAAAAACCTAAACTAGTTTATCTGGAAATAACATCCTGATGACTCGGCGTTAATTCAGAACATCAATAGTGTTGAACATATTATGTAAACTAGTATTCCCTAGAACCAACCGGTATATAATGTACTTGTCAAAACTAGGGTTGAACTAAAGGTACAAAAATCAGCAGATTTCCTAAGATTTATTGAAATTAGCATAGTACGATAAAGGGCACACAAATTTTTGCAAAAAACATAGTTACTTTGGGTTTAGAATAACGTATTGGGAAACGTGTGTTAGGATTTTTTGTATGCTGGTACCTAACATGTCATAAAAACAAAACCATGTATTATATATGTAAAATGTCAACTATAACTGTTATAATATTGGCTAATTACTTTGACTTCAACTTTGACTTTGGCTAATTACTTCAACTGAAGCTGAATGTCTATGTTATGATGTGATTGCTTAACGTACGTAATCGTACCTTAAAGTCACACTAAATGATGAGTGCCTACTTTACTCCATAATAAATAGTTGTCAAGATATTTCAATCGCGTAGAAAAGTTAGAAACGAGATATATTTGTACTTTGTAAATGCTTTATTTATTTATCGAGAGAATAGAACTGTATTGTGTTCAAGTAGCTAATGAACGCTTTATGTGCCACTTTTTGTTACGAATCGATTGCTTTGAATTAATCATACTGGATCTTGGTGGATTTTTGTAGACAATTCACTGTCTAATGTTCAGTCATCTAAAGCAGAGATATATTTAGTTTAAAGAATAGTTTAGCTGGGGTTTACTGTTATCCAACTTAACCTATTTATTTTTATAACATCTTTGTCCCAAAGGTTGTAAAGGTTAATGTCCTCAACCAACAAAGCAGTAAAAATATCAAATAAATAGTCACAGATCACTTTGTACTCCCATATGAATATATTAATACCCCTTAAGTTCATTGTTTTTTGTATTTTATGCAAACCATGTAACCAACTCGGAGCTTTGCAGCTTTCAGTTTTTCCATTTATAGAAAAATTAGTTCATCGAATGTTTCTTGGATTTTCGGTTTATGCCATCCAAATCGGAACCAGTCTGTTGATACCAATGAAGTTCAGTGCATTATATCTATCAAAAATACACTGTTTTTCTTACATCTACTGTTTTTTTATTTGTTTCCTTAAACGTACTTTGTAAATTTTAACCGAGCCGAACTAGCACTCAGAAAGAATAAGTCATAATAAAATTCTATGATACTTCATAGTTTTATCTTAATAAATTAATCCGGAAGGATTTTATCATTGATGAAATCAGACACCGACAGGTACCATAGTTACCCCTCCTCTTACATTCATACGAAAATATACTGCTGTAGATTCTGCTTAAAATTACTCAAAAGAACGAACTATCTATGAAATATGATCAAAAGTAAGTTTCATTATGTATGCATTGTGACAACAGTGATAGATTAAAGATTTTGTTGGTCGCCATTTTGATCTGTTTAATTCTGACTATCGCTTTTTTACATTCAAAGGTTTATTAAAACGACTCAAATAAACTGTTAGACCAGGTTTGTAATTTTCTATCAAACTGTGTCATAAATACCCGTGAAGTTTTGTTAAACTTCTTTTTATCCTCTTAATTCTGTCATATTTCCAATACTTTTTATGTTACTTTCTGTATAGGGTCACGTAAGTTTATCAGAATCTTCATAAGGCTCAAATATGTTAATTGTAAACAATCACAGTGCTTGCCTAAACGCAGTCTATTTTGTAATCTCCTTTTACTTCATGAACGTCAATACATACATGTCCTAGATTAAATGTACTAATCACGCCGAGTAAACCCGGTCTTAATTTCATAAACATTTTAGACTTATATTTCGGTATCCTTTTATTAAAAATACTCAGTATGGAGATATACTAACGTACAGTAATTAAATATGAATATTACCAACACAGGAACTCTAAAAATTGTTAACCGCCCTAATATTAGTATAAGAAATATCATTTCTTAGTTGTAGAAAGTGATCCGTAAACAAGAAATTCAAAGGGGATTTTATTCTGTTATACAACAAGAAATATATTAATAAGCATAACTAGTATGAGGTGTGTCAATGACTTTGATAGCTGATCATGTACTTGAGAATATTAGCCCCATATTATTACCATTAATTTATTTAACAGAAAGGTGAAATAGAAATCGCCAAAATATGCTTAAGAATCAATAGTATTTGTGTGAAGATGTAATAAGTTTGTTTATGGTTTTATTCAGGATAATCACCGTTCACTTGTTTGTACGCGATTATCAGTCAAATCGTTAACATACAAAACTTGAATTAATCTTGCTAATTAAAGATTTGAAAACCCCACGCCTTTCCAGATGGGCCATATACCGATATATTACATTGTGAAATTACTTCACGATGGACAAAAGTCGTCCAACCCTTCAAAAACAATTGTCATACGAACAATCATTTATTCAAAAGTATTCACCGACGATATCCATTAGCTAAAATGGCTGGTCTTTGTAGGGTTACCCAGAACGTTTTTAAACATTAGAAGTCGGTCAAATAGATTAGACTTTTCTATCCCATAGAAAAAGCCATACGTTATATAAAACCTGAAGTTATCAGGAGCGTTACTTAGTAACCATCTACTCTAGTACATGGGAGCATCTGTTCCAAAAACTTGGAATGCTATTGAAACCATTAAAATGCATAAAAGGCGGATTTTTATAGATATTCGTGTTAGACCAATGTAGTCTATTGCTACTATTGCATGAGCCAATAACTTTCGAAGTTAAACCTTTGTGGCGTGAAAGGTAAGAGTAGATTTCTAAGATTGAGAGACGGGTTTTTTTCAAAAACTCAATGGTTGGACTGTTACTATTCCTATTTCATAGGAAAAAGTTACCGTACAGTAGCGAAATTTCATCAACCCATGTATCGTATCTTTTTTAATCGGATGTCAAAGGAAAAATGTTTTGAAACTCTTCATGTTTTTAAAATCTCAATTTTGCGAGTATTGATATTCTCAGCTTTTAGGATGTAGCAAAGTGATCAAAATTATGGTGAGGAGAAAAACTAGGTATTAAGGAGCCTAAAACCTGAGATAGAATGTTCATAGTTTTTATTCCAACGAATTGGTCTTGAGACTTCATTAGCTAAATATCTTCGTGGCAAATCTAATGCAAACAAATTACGAGACTGATAGTTAATGACACAACGTTAGGCATCAGGCATGTTGATGATAAAATACGAATACTCGATTGCGATGATATATTTATCGAAAGGAATAGTGGGCTGAGCTATGCTTGAAACTCAATAGCTTCTGCTCAGAACACTATTCAACCTTATACATAGATCATGTTCAGAGGATAAGACCAAGGAAAAATTAATCGTAACTAAAGGTAATTTATGAAATAACCGTAATCTGCCTAAAATTCGATGCTAAATATGGAAAGATTAGGATCAAAGATATGGAACATGCTGCTGTCTTCCTAAGAGTGATGAAATAGCTAGAAGATTAAATGCTGCTCTAAAAAGGATGTGCTCAGTCTCTAAATTGATGTCTCCTGATTGCGACATATTTCACCATTTTGCCTTTAACTGTATTTAGAAGTCTACATACGTTCAAAGTAGATTAAAAAGGATTAGCGCCCACGTCTATGGACACATTACACGATATCTAAGATGAGAAAATAGGATTTTTTGGACATTTGACATGATTCTGATGTTTCAAATTTCTTAAAGATAATTAACTATGACATACACCTTCGACTTCGATGCTCTTTTCAGTTTTCTCATATAATTAATCTGTGAATTGTTAACCGTTAGAATAACATCTTATTTCTTCTGCAGTTATTGTCCTTTAATAATCCACATCTATATGTCAAATTGAACTTAATCAGAAATTTTCTGACAGTAACACGTGTATTCTAGTTTGGTTTTAATGATTAATATTACTGCTTCTAGGTTGTATGTAGCTGAAGAGTATTCACGAAGCAAGTAAACTCATATTTTTCTTATACTATCGTTGTTTTTATTAAAATAAATACTTGAAGTAAGCCTTGGCTATACGGAAACTGAAACCCCTTTATGTGTTCAAAAACAATTTGTTTTTACCCTTAACCTATACTGGTAATACTGATTCCTTATCTAGAATGGTTATCACATTGTTTTTGTATGCTTTCTTTTTCTTTGTTACGGTTTACCTTTAATGTATCTAGTTGACCTTTTAGTTTTCATATAAAAATGTCTTAACAAGTATATATATGTTCAGATTATTCGAGATGCTTTGCGCAAATATATCACATAATTCTGATAACCTTCGTCTTCTCATTGCATTATCGAAATACCTGAAGCACAAAGATTTCGCCCTTTTCTCCCGTCTTACAAAACTGATAGATTTGACAGTAACTTTCCCCAGTCATTTATCCATGTTTATATTTTTACAAATGTTTTAACCATGGCGGATTGAAAGCTTGATTCACCGTCTATCTCATACAAAATAATAATCTAATGTTTGAGGAATTTAATATTTTTTTCTGTTTCAGTGGTGGTGTCCTATTATCTTACTTTACGATACAAAAGATGTACGTTGGAGTTATTTTGACCTATTCTTTCCTGTTTGGTACAGGTGTTGGATTAGGATTTTCAGTAACTTTGGCCGTTGCTGCAACAGTAAAATATTTACAACTTTTATATTTAAACAGTTTTGGAACTATGATTATTATAAACTTATTTAAAAGGATTTATATTATGTTTATTATTTTTAGTCCAATACTATAGTCAGTTTGTATTTATGAAGATAAGTAGTAATTTGTAAAGGAGTTAAAACTAGCTTCAAAATATCTAAGAGTTATTAAACTGAGTAATCAGTAATGCAATGTATCATCGCGTGTTTAAAATAGTTCCATACAAATAACACCTTCCCTCTACAAATGGTTATACATCTCAATATAAACGTTTAAACCGAAGTGCTGTATCATCTATTATATAGTTCAGATCACTAAATAGCATGTAGCTGCGTTCCAAATTTTTGTTTTCGTCAAAACCATATCATGCAACAAAAGAAGGCATATCTCGTAACTTTTACAGAAATGATCAAAATGTTTAAAAAATCAGCCTAAAAATATTTTTAAGAAAAGTTCAGTGTTACTGGTATGCAAAGAAAAATCAAACCGTGCTAATGATGTAATTTGATTTTATTCTTCTGCTTAACGCATGATATACTATTTGTGTATGTTATTTTCTACAGTGAAAAGTACCGGTGTTTTATTATTGAATATGAACTATTACTTATATCTATAGTATAACGAATGAAATTATTTAATCCCTTGATTTAATTAATCTTAAGCTGAATAATATTTTTACGTATAACAATGAAAAGTACCTCCATAGGAACGATAGGAACCTATCCTTATACCCAAATGTGATAATGTCCCTCCAAAAAAACAGTGAAGACGTTCATCTATTTGGATGGTCATATAAGCTCTGGTGATGATGTAGCAGTTAAAATAAAAATTCTTTTAGTGAAAACCAAGGTAAATCATCCGCATTCAGTATAACAATCATGAAATTCTGATTGTAAAATTTCAAGAAAACAAGGCGTTTGATCTCACGAGGTTAGTTGTCTCCTTGTCTAATGATTGCTTTCTCAAACATTTTATTTGGATCCAATGTGTGTAGAAAGTACTAATATCAGATAGTGTTCATGGATGGTCGAAACAATTGTTCAATAATATTTATTTCCTCGAAATGTCGACTTTTTGTTCTAATGATTTATTATGAATATGGGCTCCATTAAGTGCTGAAAATAGAGGAGGGGTTAATTTAGGATTTGTTGCCAAAAAACGATGTATAATTGTGTTTCATTTGGATCAATTATTTAGAAGCTCTTAGAAGTTATCTTGTACTTTCCTGTTGAACTGTATCACTTTAAGTTTCTGTTTCACTGAACATTTTCTAAATGAACGAATGTGTTATGATGTTTGCATGCTCATTTTGATTGTATTCCTTAATGCATACTGTTCTTGCTTCTAATTGATTAATTCCAAAAATGGGTTTTGCTTAGCTGTATCCATCTTTACTAATTTTCTTGCATTGAAAAAGTGATTGTTTATTAATAACATACATATGTGTTCTAATTAAAATAATAACTCCTTTCTTGTTCCTTTTGAACACTTCAATCAGTGCTTTTTTTCGGATAACCAAATACATTTTTTATGTATAAATAATCTTATAACATTAAAATAAGCCTTAGTTTCGTGTTGAATAATAATGATTCCGCTCTTTTCTCTCCCTAGTGGTTTCCTGAACATAGAGGCCTTGTGGTTGGACTAGTGGTTAGTGGATATGGTATGGGATCATTGGTGTTCAGTCCTATCCAAACATTTTTGATAAACCCAAACAATGTCCCAGTTAACAATGTGACAAGGTAATAAAACGATTAAAGTATTGGTATTTCTCAGTTTTAATGAATAGATGCACAAATAATGTCTTATTCTGGCGACAAGTAATCACAGTACGTTCAGCCTACGCAGGATAGGGCGCGATTAGAAAAAAAGAAAATTCGACGGTATAAAAAATGGAATACTTAGAGATAAATGAGACGAAAAAGCATAAGGAACAACTTGGTTTATGACCAGACTAGATATTATATCCTTTCAAAGACAGTCAAAATATTAACCTCATTCGTCCTTAGAAAGGAATCACAAATAAATTCTCAAATATTAAGGGACATGGGGAAGTACTTGAAGTAGTAATTCCTCTGATAAATGCTTTTATTTACATCATTTCAATTCGAAAGTTAAAAATGTTTAGCCGCTACACTTCCTAAAAATTTTATTCAAAAATGTCACAAATCTATGTTCTTTTAACATAGTTTTATGTATACCACTAACTGGTTTAAAATTAAAGATAAGAATTTTTCTAGATTTTGAACAATATTATTTGTTTTAACATGGAGATGAAATACTACTTAATAATGATTAATTTGTGATAAAGTATATTTTTACTATCTTCTTAATTTTTCATTTCTAATTACCTCTATTCTTTAGACAATTTGATGATCCTGAAGTACTTAACAGACTACCACATGTATTTCTTGTTATTGGGGTTATTCTATCAGTTACTCAGATCATTGGTCTGATTTTGCTACGTTCAAAGCCGAAATCAAATGCTGTAAGATTTTAATTTAAATAAATTATTGGTTGGTAACATTCTCAAACGATTCAGTTTGGCATAAAAAAAGGTTTCTTTATTGAAAGTAGCATAAGGTTAAGAACATTTTTTATACTGGTAAAAATTTACAAGTGATTGTACGGTAACAATACATCTAGTCATCATCTGAAAATTCTAATAAACTACTGATCCTTTAATGAATAAAGTTTTATCAAATGCTGAAATTTCAATGTCAAAAACCACAAATTCTACCCCTATATTTTTTGGAAGTACATTCAATTAGCATAGTGAATAGTTACCCAAATAAAATTGGATTGGTGAAGCGCGCATTAAAAAATCAATGTTTTTTTTAATAGAGTGGCTTAATATGGCTAAATATAACCAAGCATTCTTTATTATTGCCACTGCTTTCTTTCACAAATAATTTAAATGCATGAATATAGAATAAGAGAAGAATAAACCATTTTAGATAGAATGAAGTATAAAGTCATTGAAAAGTCTAAGCTGATATTATAATCAAATAGAGAAAGCTCACTTGTGATAAAAAAAATACATTATGTTCGTAAAGAGGAGAATTATTGAAATGAATGATTTTGACACCTTAAAAATTATAGTGATTTTTATTTCTGACACTTCAGCTAATCAATGTTTGTTGATTGTTACACACTGTTTAACTAGAACAGGTGACAACATCCAATCAATGTCATTTTGATTTTAACTGAAAAGCGATAAAGATCAATTTTAATGATCTTGTGAACATATTTATAATTGTACTAGTTATTATAAATATAAATAATTGTATATAACATTACTTAATTACTTACGCCTTTTACTTCTCGCGGAGGACCATAGGTCGCTCACCAGCATTCTCAATCCAACTCTGTCCAGAGCAATCCTTTCTAGTTGTTTCCAGTTGCTATTCATCCTTTTCACATCTGCTTCCAATTCTCGGCACATTGTGTTCTTGGACTTCCACTTTTCCGTTTGCCTTCAGGTTTCCATGTAAGCGCTTGCCTCGTGGTGCAGTTTGATTATTTCCTCAATGTGTGTCCTATCCACTTCCAACGTCTTTTCCTAACTTCTTCCTCAGTTGGAGGTATGTTTGTTTTCTCTCCCACAGTAGACTGTTTTTGATGGTATCCAGCCAACAGACATTCAATATATTACGTAGAAAACTGTTTATAAATACTTGTATCTTTTTGATTATGGTTGTGCTAGTTCTCCAAGTTTCACCTCCGTACAGTGGAAATTTTGACGTTCGTATTAATGATTCTGAACTTGATGTTGACTGACAGTTGTTTTGAGTCCCATGTGTTCTTCAACTGTAGAAATGCTGTCCTTGCTTTGCCAATCCTCGCCTTTACGTCTGCATCAGATCCTTCACGTTCGTCGATAATGCTTCCCAGGTACGTGAACTCTTCCACATTTTCCAGAGTTTCTCTATCGAGCGTATTTGATTCGGTGTTCTCCGTGTTGTACTTGTGGATCCTTACGGAATCCAGCCTGTTGATCTCAAAGCTGTACATCTACTGAATTTTTTGTCCGGTTCAGAAACACTGTTGGAAACGTTTCCTAGTACCGATAGTAGTGTGGCGCCTCTTTATTTCTCACATTTACTCCGATCTCCTTTCTTTGGTAACCTGATAAGATATCCTTCTTCCCAATCTGTCGACACTTGTTCTTCTTCTCAAATCTTTCTGAATAGAACGTGGAGTATGTTTGCAGTTGCTTCTATGTCAGACTTCATAATCCAGGTGGTGTATTATCAGGTTCTGATGCTTTCCCACTCTTGATTTGTCTGATGGCCATCCTGATTTTTTCGATCATTGGTGGAGTGACATCTACGGGAAGGTCTGTAGTTGCTGCTTTGATATTCGATGGGTTCAATGAAGCTGGTCTATTCGAGAGTTCCTCAAAGTGTTCTACCCATTTGTACCTCTGTCATTGAATTTCAGTGATTAGCTTGCCGTGTTTGTCTTTGACTATTCTCTCTGATTTACAATATTTCCTTACCAGTTTCTTCATCATTTCATACAGTCGTTTTATATTTCCTCCTCTTACAGCTTTTCCTACTGTCGTTGCCAGCTCTTCCCGTATTTCTGCCTTTCGGCCCTAATGCTCTTCTTCACCTGCTTGTTTGCTTCAGTATATTCAGCCTGTGCCTTGACTTTCTCTGTTCTTGTTCGGCTGTTGTTAAATGATGTCTTCTTGTTCTTCCTTTCTCGAATCTTATCCAGGGTTTCGACAGAGGTTCACTCCTTACTATGATGCTTCTCGAGGCCTAGCACATCCTGAAACGTTGAAGTTAGTGCTTCTTTGATCTCTTCCCAGTTGTTCTCCATAATAGTTTCTTTTTTTATTAGTTCTCTTAAGGCTTAGGACCCGTTGTTGAGAGTTATCTTGAATTCGTTGAGTTTGTCAGTATGTCGAATTAAGGCTGTGTTCAACATTGGTAGTGCTGTTTGTCTAGTTGTTCAATAATTTTTTAGCTTTAGTTTCATCTTTGCAACCACCATTTGGTGGTGATCTGAAGCTTTTTCAACCCCTCTCCTCGTTCTCGCATCTTCCACTGACCTTTTGAATTTTTTACTGATGCAAATGTAATCTATCCGGTTCTTTGGGGTGTGATCCAAGGGACATAATAAGCTGCGATGGATGGTGGCCAGGAGTAGAATCCAGGACGAGCGTCTCGTCCCATTTGGGACTCGTCAGCTGAATGTGCATTCATCACAGAGTTGATTTTCACTCCAGAACTCGAACTCAGTTTGCTTCAAACCACTTAGCTACTGAGTCCTATAACACACTTAAAAAATAGTCGGATGCAGTTTATACCATCATTTCTAACTACAACAATTTCACGGATCACCGTCTATTTATTATTTATTACTAGTCTTAATAAAACAAAATATAGTGGTTTGACAATGTTAATTTTCCATTTACTTCAGCAGACTTGATATATTAATGCATAAATCGATCACATGACACCTACTGACGAAACATGCTTGCTACTTTTAGGCTGACAGGACACAGTTACTGCGACGTAAAACAAAACAGTGTAGTTCAGTGCCAGTTTACATATTATTGTATCAAGCTTGCTGAGATGAATGTAAACGTTAGCCGGTAAATAATTGAAATGAATTAAGCATGATTTTTTACAATGTAAATGTAACAATACGTAGGCAGGTTGATCGTTTGTTTCACATTTGACTGAATCTTCAACTTTTAGTGTGCATAATCAATTATTTTAAGCATCTATATGACTGTATTTCAAAACACTATCAATAGCTGTGTTCTTGACATCTCCTAATAGACAACTTTATCCAAACTCCTGGTTATCAGTGAACACTGGTAAACTCTGATGACACACTATCAGTTGGTCTCCAAAACATTTGCAACTGTGTAGAGCAAAGAAGACAAACGAATAAGGTGCTTTGATTCATCGTATTTCTACATACGTCCATTAAAAATGGTAGTTCATATAACTAACAATAAATGTTAGTTTTATCTGTAACCATAAATCATATTTCACTGCGCAATCATCTTTATGTCACTTAGCGAATTATTGTGACTTGACATAATCGAGTGAACACTGATAAACAGATACCCATACATTGATATATTTCCAGTTACAGCTCAAAATAATTTATTGGCAGATGAGTTACTTAGAAATGATTGATCACTGAGTAATGATCAATGTTCGTCTAGCTGTTTTGGGCTAGCTGAAATCTGTCGATCAAATCACAATGTGCCCACTTCTCTAGGTGATTCAATGTCGTGTGCTGTTTTGATAATTCTAAAAGAATTGACATAATATATATTTTACTTTCAAATATTTCTTCTTAGAAAGATAATAAAATTGAAATCTTGGATGAAAGCGAGTCTTCAGAATATGAAATAAAGGATTACGTAAGTTCTTAGAAATTACATTTAACGTGGCACATATATTACAAAGTAATCATACCGATTTTCATATTGACCATTTTAATTAATTACAGTTCTTGCTCTGACCGTCCGTTTGATGACATTAGTTTAGATTTACTAGTTCACTCATCTATTATATGGTTAGCTTATGATTTATGAAAGTATATTCTGAGATAGTGAAAAACCTTCTTGAGACAAAAACAATTATTAAAATACATAAAGATAATGAAAGTTGCTTTGTTTTCAACATTTCTTTGCGACGATTCGAATTTTATTAGATGAAAAATTTGTTAGACTTAGCTGAAAAATTTCTTTTCAAAGTCTTTTGTGTTTTATTTTCCTAATCTTCATAAATTGAAAATCTACAGAATTATGCGTTCTTAATGAAGCGACTGTGAAATAATTTAGCAATTACGCTTGAAGATGCTATTTTATCAATTTCCGGCATTCTTCAACTCACCCTATGGTTAAGCGAAGGATTTTAAAATTTTTGAAATAAGAATTTATTCTGCTAAATTGTTTTTGCTAAACATCAATATACTTTGAGCACCAAAGTTTATCTTTATTTACTTAGGACGTAAAAATCTCGAATTGTTCAAAGTGAGTTTCATTTGAAAATATTCGTTTAAATTTTTCAGTTTGTGTGGAGTGTGTGTAAATATATATCGAGAAAAAATAGCAATTTATTTGAACGAAAACTGACATAAAAATAGGTTCTTATAGATAAACGTTTGAAATACAGCACAGTCTCTGTGGGATCTCATCGAAATTAAGGATAAGAATAACTTTGCATATTATAACAATACTTCCTCTAAAACAATTTAGTTAATTGATAATTTTGACTCCCATATTAACAGAGAATATAAAAATATTTAATAAGCATTAAGGTTCCACAATATATTTAAAGTGGTGTGAATCTATATGCTTAATTTCAACAAAAATTCTAATTCTTATAAAATTATATCGAGCAAGAAGAACAATCACAAAAGAATTTTATAGACTCTTTACATTTGCTTTAACTGAATACAATAAAGAGGTTCATTTAAGTCTTTTTCCTGTTTTAATATCCTCGCCTTATTTTCTCAAACGGTGTAACATTAATATGTTTGGTAAGTTCAATAAAAATTTATTCACAAAACACCTATCTGTTTGTGGTATTTGTTAGTGGATGATTTACACAACATATGTGATTGACTCACAGTTTAACAAAGCATGAAACTACTGGAAAACTTATGTTTGATTTGGCTAACTGTTATAAAATATCAAAGAATGTGATCTGATTTTATCTTGCAAGCTTTATTCAAAAAGAGCTAATGTAACAGTGTGCTAACTAAAAGTATGGTCGAAAATGTAGTATTATCTAGAGCTATTCAAAAGAAATGAAACGTAAGACGACTGTTCTCCGAGAATTATAAATGCAGTATGAATTCTGATACAGATTAGCTGAACGGGTAATCATACGAAAACTAGTTACCGACCCTACAGCTGTAGGGAATAGAACACGGATAAGGACAACCTGGAATTACAGAGTTACTCGGTAAAATAGAAAAACCAAATAGTAAATTGTTATTTTGCAAAATATTAATCCATCATATCAAAACGGACTGTTCGTGCTACAAACATCAATCCATTGTCTCACATTTCATTGTTCATGTGTTTTCTTACAAGTTGCATTATGTTCCCGCTTTTCCTTTCTTGATCTTCTCCCATCCTCTGCTGCCAGACATTAATTTTTCATTTCGCGTCATATACTACTTACATCAATATAAGTAACACGGATCACAGCAATGAAATTATTTAGGTAACTATATATTTTGAATAAAATAATAGTGTACAAAGTACAAGTAAACTAGATATGTCTAGATAATGATTTTCAACGATACAGATTGGATTGAACTACTCAAATAAAAATAAGCCAAGAAAAATATTGATTTATCTTTAACACATATACAAGGTGGTTTAAAATGCTAATCGATAGTTGTAAATATCTCATAGTTGTCATACGGCAATTTACTGTTTGTGAAAAACACATAAGTGGACGTAGACTTATCACCTTATTATCAGCGTTCATCGAAAATATTATTTACTCCTAACAGCGTCATTAGCATTATGATAATATTCTCAGTTTTTTTTCATCCATTATTGAAACGGCAGTCAGTAAAGTTTGCGTCGATTTATCCTGTATATTTATTAGTAATATCTGTTCACTGTCATGTTTTCAGATTTCGTTGTTTCATAGAAGTCATTCAAACTATATCTATTTACTGTTATCATGAATTATCTATCAAATAAAAATGGTAATAATTCTTTATGTTTATTTTAATGATTGTTAGTTAAAATCTCATACTTGTATGATAAGCCATATTGTTAACATATTATTTTAAAGTGCAGTGGACATAAAACCCGGTCAATTGTTTCGACATATCGACTTCTACCTTTTATGGTTGATCGAACTTTGTAACAGCGTGCCGCTTACACTTTTAACTTCTTCCTATAAAGTTAGTTCATTTTCACTTTAATTAATTATTATGTTTAATATACTGAACGTAGACTAGTATAATTAAAGAACATAATAGTCTGTCTGTTAATACTTTTTGATTAGCAAGTTCATCCAAGTGTCTTCCCATCACTTGTTTAACCAGGTTTGAATTGTAATTAATCTTACAATTGTCTTCAGCTACCCTAAAACCATAAATTTAAGTGCTGAATTTCGTCTATTTCCATGAAACTGAACAGAAATAAACGTGAAAATAACTTGACTGCTGAAATATTTCCAGATTTCAAATGAGTTAATGTTATTTTTAAGTTAGTATTGCTATATTAGCGTGACAACGCCAATGTTAGGACGGACTGAGCGAGATAACTGTAGACTATATGGCTATTACTTCTACGATATATATGATTGCATACAGTTAATATGAAGAATGCAACAGAGCATTATGTCAAAAGAGATCGAAATGAGAAAAATGGACGGTTTATTATCAACTTAATGCTGAACTTTAGAATATAGATATTATAATTTATTATAACGGATAAGTAATTCTAGACAACCAGTTGTAGAAAAAGTTCAGGATTAGTGATTTTAATATTCTGTGGATGTTTAAAGTTTTGATAACGCCAACAGTGCAACTTTTTAGTGATCAAGATAGAAAATCTTCTTGCAATACTCGATCATGCATTTTCATCCAAAATTTATTATTGATACTATAGATATTAAATCCATTAGGATATGAATAAACTCGTCAGTAAAAGTATTGTACCTTTGTTTAATTGGAAATCTTTACTTGACTATGTTTAGTTGTAATTCATCTTCTTTTCATTTTTACATGAAAAAGTAGTGTGTATTTTGAGAACCTTGTTACACCTATTCATGTTTGAGAAATCGTTGATTTTATCGCAAACATAAAAGGAAATCAAATATAGAGCAGCGTCAACATACTTTACCTTTAATATGCTACCAAATAATAATAACTAACGGATTTCGATAGACAATCTTATTTCTTTCTGATTATGATGATAGTGGTACAGTGAGATCAAAATGATTTGGTAAAGATAAACATTTATTTGGAGTCGAAAAACCTAAGAAACGGCAGTCTTCTTGTTCAACACGTTTTTCGATTTGATAGATACAACACTACTGATGAAACTTCTATAGTCGATCTGTGGAAATGAACGTAGCTTTTATTAGCCTTTTCTACAGAAATCAATTTGACTCAATTACTTATCTTCTACGTCCAAACGTTTACGAGAATTCGAAACGTTTTACTTCAAAATACCGATTCAGATAACTTTAGATTTATACATATTTTTTATAAGGTATCAAAATACCACTAAAGTTCTTTGTTTTATTTTACCACTGTTATACAAAGTAATGTTCAGTATCATTTCTTCTTTCATGATGATGATTACATCTAATCATTCGTAAACTGCTAAATAATTTTGAATTACTAATTTGTAACGCAGCAGGACTTTGTACTAATTTTAATAGTTTTATGGACAAAAATTCTTGGCTGAGAAATGAAGGGACATTTTTCTGTTTTATATAAGTTTCGTTCATTATATACTAAACTACCTACCGTGTTGTATTTTTTCCAAGTTTTTCATGTTGTACCACACCAGAACAGGCAAATTTCTTTATCAAACGAGCACTTCGAAAACTAATCATAAACGTCATATGTAAACGCACTTTTAAGTTCTTATAAACACCTTTAGTCCTAATAACGGGATACACGACTAATCTCTTTTTCATAAATCCACGTAACATCGAAATATTTTGTACGTGATCCTAATATTTTTTATGAAAATGGTCTTAAAAAAACTTATTTCATATCCCGTCAAAATAAAGTTAAAGATTTTTCAACCTTAAGATTATTAGTTATCGAAATGCATTCTTCAAATTTTGTCAATTTAAAAACTATGATGGAAATACCATTCTTTGGTATTTCTTTATCTTCACTGACATTTCTAACTTACCAACATCTCGCACCACTCAATAAAGTTGTTTACATTGTTTTCAGTTATTTGGTCAGTCGTTTATCAGTGATGATAAGTACCTATCAATTATAGTTACAATGACTGCAGTTTTCAATGCCGGTGGCCGTATTATTTGGGGATCAATTGTGGATCGATTTTCATACAAGGTGAGACATTTATCAAATAACTCGTATGAAAAACTTCCAAAAAATTCACAAATCTACAAAAAAATGTTAGATTAGTTTGAAAATCTAACCAAACATGTCACTTTATTTTGAGAACCTAAGATCTTCCTTTTTACGAAACCAATCACGTTTTCACTTCTGTTTTTTTAAGAACAAAAGATAAGTCCAGTGACACATTTTAACACACCTCTGCTGTCGAGCTAAAACTAATAAATGCAGAGTAATCAGATCATCCTAGTAGCTGAGAAGTACAATATAAATGATCCTCTCCAGCTCTCAGACTGATAACTATATTTGACATTTTATTTACTACTGTTCATTCGGTACAATAGTGAGTTTGTTATAACTTGTGGTCTGTCTCCCCTGTTTATGTATAACGTAATGATACCTCCAATTAGACACCAGTGACTTATCGATCGGACTAATGACGCTTAAACCCGTATGAGCAGTCTAGAGTACTTATCGGTCCTGTTTCCTGCCTAGCCCAGCCAGTTAAGTCCAGAACACTAATCTCAGCCTCTACGATATCAATCGTTTATTTTGAGTATACTGGGTTCATATACCAACCAGACAGACCACATCGTACCATAAAATGGAAAATAACATTTGTACAAGATTTAGCCAAAAGTGGCTGTGAGTGTGGGAGGTGATAATTAATAGACAGGGCATAATTCAAGAATGGTAAATCGTAAAATAATATAAGAAAAACGGATATGAACAGTTTAATTATTTGACAATTATACGATAAAAATATACGCATAGTACTCGTCCATAAATGGATCCCAAAAGTTACCATTCATTATGCTTATCGGGGCATAACAGAATTCTAACTATAATATACAAAAAATCAATGTTGATCAGATATAGTATGTTAAACTCTATGGATACTTTCATTCTATTGAAATTTCAGTTTGGAGCTTTTAATACATAAATTAAATTTATTCATGCCTACCTATTTAAACCGTAGTTACGTCGACGTTTGTACAATATTATTGCTCAATAAATGGAAAAAAACCTTTAACCTTTTTTAATGGTGAAAGATAATTCTAGTAACTTATTTATTCACTGAAAGTGCCGTCTAATTATACACCTGGAATGAATTTCAGTGGTTCCTCTGTATTAAGACAGATGAATACATTAAAAATAATATATTATATAAACTTGTTATTCAGAACAAGAATAAGAGTAAACGTGTACTTCGAAATTCCTGGTGTTTGATGGCATAATATATACAAACACGTTTAGGTTGAAAGTCATTTTACCAATGAAGTAGCAGCTGTGATACCTAGTTTTTTTAATTTCTCAAATGGGTTTTAATGATTGTTTTAATCAGTAGATAAAACTTTAGGCGTATTCTGCACCGGTTTTTAGTTATCAACCATATTTTGTAATTCTAGATGTAGAAAATCTTTATTCATCAATGTAATGACATATTTCATTTTAAATTAGTATGCATTTTAATGAATCGGAAATATCAGTGTAAACTTTATCAGTCAGAAACAACAGTAATGTCTTGTACATATGGTTGTGATTAACAGTTTCCATTAACTTTTATGCATTTTCATTACCAGTTGTACTATGAGAGTGTTAGTCATTATTCGTAAATGGATAATGTCGCTAGTAAAAATCAACCACAAAGTCTAATTTTCACGAAAATCAGAAGTAATAAAAAACTGTATGTATTTAATAAACTATAGGGGTTTACAACTTCTAAGAATTTAGAGTATAATATTACACAGATTGGAGCGAAAATTAAATATTCACATTTAATTCAAAGAAGTCCACTATTTTTTCAGAAATTATTTATATGGATAATTATTGTTGACATGTATTTAATCGAAATGTAGAATCTCACTTTTTTTCATGTCGTAGATTCCGTTTTGTATAATAAGCCTGATTTGGGCCATCCTTCTTTTGACGTTTCCTTACATCAGTCTGACGAATGGATTGACGGCGAAAATGCTTTATTGTATTTGGGGTATTGGAGGTTTTCTTTTTTTAAGCAGTGTATCAACAGTGGCTCCAGCAGCCATAGGGTCGATGTTCGGATGCACAAACATGGCTATTAACTACGGGATAATAGCATGTGCACGAGTACGTTTACCTATTTCATGTTGATAAATATCGATATATTTTTGTATTTACCATGCTCACGATTGAAACGCTAGATGTTTTCGAACAACAGCTAATTCAAGTCTCGTAGTCTTAGTGCAGATCAGGAGCTATGCAGACAATCCTCTCACTTCTTAATGAAAACACAAATTTGTCTACTAAATGATGAAAAGTCAAGGTAGATGAAAATCAAATTTATTACTCGAATTCTACTAAAGACTTATTACTACTGATTGATATAAAAATAAGTCCTATTTAAAAGTTATTTTTAGTTGGGGGTTTTTGAAGATTTTCGAACTTTAGTGAGATCAAAGATCGACCTAAGTAAGACAACCATTAGAAATTTGGAAGCACTAGTTCTAATTTGGAGCTCCTTGACAATCCTCACCAACAACCCCACAACAGGGAATCGATTCCAAACCTTCAGTTTTTGCGTTATTACGCTTAACTTCTAGATTACTAAGTCGATTTTCATTGATATATAAGTCTGACTGAAACCAAGCCAAGTGTGCGACCATCTTCCATTATCGGTAAGTAACGTCCCCATACCCGACACAGTTGAACTCCATTAGTTACAGTATAATGCCACCGCGTCTTTAATGGTCGTCCACCTTAGATCGGTTCGCGATTTCAATAAAATTAAAATGTAATGTCTCGGAATATTACGTCAGTATCAAAAAAGTACCAATTCGAATCCATGAGCACTGTAAACTTCCACTGACCTCCGCATTTTTGTTCTGTCAGTTCTTCAGATGGTTTCAGAACTAAGTATTCATTTTATTAACACAAATTTAGATAAATGCCATCAATTTAAACAAAGTTTAGTAATGAGATGCACCTGTTAAACAACTTATATGTTCTATAACTTGTTCCAAATAGCATAATTAGAGAACTAAAAGCATTCACTCTATGAAAATCCTTATCGGTTTATCGATGATAAATTTTTTCATTCCACGACTCGGATAAGAACCATGTCTTCAAATTATGTTAATGACTTCATTTAAACCATTTTTAGTCATAACGGTAGTTTTCATTACAGATAAAAGTTGTATTTGTTTTCATTTTAGAAATTTAACAGAATAGTACGCTAGGTGATGAAAGTATAATATTAGGGGATCTTAACCTACTTACACTTTCAATTATTTTTATCATTTGGAAATAATTTCTTTACCACTTGTTATGTCCCAAATCTTATTTATTTACACGGTTTCTTGTTTGCTTTCCACTAAAGTGAATTAACCCAGGCAAGATCCTTGACTTCCGATGACTGAGAAGCCGATGATTTCTTCTCGATGTAGTCACGCTAGTTTAAATCATTCTACTGCTTACTATGGATAAATGTTCATTGTATGTGAAACTGCTTATCCTCGAACTTGTACAACGTGGATAATATGTAAATCTGTTGGTTTGAAGCAGATAATTTGACGAGTTGTAGCCACCATTCTTACCTTTTAAGCATAATGAGTTTTATGTCGACTGTGTTTGATGTATTTAGTTCCCTTGGTAAACTTGTAAATCATGTACAAGAAAGATTTTGAGATAAAATCAACCCATTTTACTCTGCGTGTTCTAAATCTTCCACACACTGATTTTTGCAAATAAATAAATTTTTTGTGCATAGCATACTGTTATTTAGTCATATAGTTCAAATTAATTTATTTCAAATAATTTTACCATTCTTTTGGTTCAATATTCACAAGAAAACGATGTCAGTTTAAGTTCAGATGACTTTGTGTTTATTCCAAGGTGTTTTCAAAAAATAACTAAATGATTTAGTTTCACGTATTACAGATTGTGAAGTGGCTTGAGACAAAAATCTTTATTTATCAAATTTTCTTTCACTTACACAGTCTTGTCATAAACTGAAAGATAATAAAATTAATTAAGTAGTCAAATAATTTTTGTCTGAAATATTATCATTTCAATCAACAATTTGGAATGAGATACATAATCAATGAATTGCTTTGGATATCAGATAAACATGATTAAAAAATTTCTAAATAATTCTCATGGTCATCAATCATATTTGTTAATTAAATCTAAATTATTTACCGGAAACTATGAACATTCATATGGAAATCGATAATATGTGTGTTTATCCTTTGTTATTCTACGTAGGCTATAGGATGTCCTTTGTGTGCCGTTGTCCTCACATTTATCAGTTCAGAGAACCTATACATTGTCCAGTTTACTATATGTGGATCCGCAAGCCTAGTAGGTGAGTAGTTCAAAATCGGTTAAAAATGATGTTCAATTATATAGCACAATAACTTTCAATGTTTTCAGTCGGAAAATATCTTAAAAATTATAATTTCATTAGAGTACAGGATAAATGTAATTACTTAAAAACACCATAAAGTAAGAAGAACATACATTTATTTAAACGTATTTTTGGCTTTATTGTTATGATCTAAGTTTTCTTCCGAATCTGTTCTTGATGTATAAGCCTTAATAACCCGGGGACGGGAAAAATTGAATAACAAGGCAGTAGACAAAACTCGTCCATGTCAAGAAAAGGAACGGAAAACAGTTACTCATATTTTTTCAAAACTTGGTTCCCACATTGTGAAAGGTCATGTGACTGAGATGGTTTCTCCGTGTACCTTAATATAAAGGTTAACAAAAAGACCTTATTATGATGTTTTTGACTTACTTGAAATGTGTATATTAGAGCTAGTATCGAATTATGACTGTTTTTTAACCAAAGGTAAGTTTTACACAACTCCGCCTGGAGTCCCTCCGGGGGCTACTGCCGGTCCCAAGCCCGGATAAAGGAGGAGGGTTGGGCATGGGGTTAGCGTCCCCATCCCGTAGAAAACTAACTCGCTAAAAAAACGCTAACCAGAAAAAATTATTCAAACCTTTTAAACTCTGCCCTGGGAGTCAGAAGGTCTTCATTTAGAAGAATTATGACGCCTCATGATGAAAGCCGAATTCCTTCGGAAGTTACGAGGCCGATGCCCCTTCTGACAACCAGAGCGACCATTTATTTAGGTACATGGAATGTTCGTACAATGTGGGACACCGGAGAGCCTTCCAAATTGCTGCAGAAATGAGAAGATACAACCTAGAGGTACTTGGGATCAGTGAAACACATTGGACACAAGTTGGACAACAACGACTAACTACAGGAGAGCTCCTGTTATACTCCGGCCATGAAGAAGAAAATGCACCACATACACAAGGAGTTGCATTGATGCTGTCCAAACAAGCGCAAAATGCACTTATAGGATGGGAATCTCATGGACCAAGGATCATCAAAGCCTCGTTCAAAACAAAGAAAGAGGGCATTTCAATGAACATCATCCAATGCTATGCGCCTACCAACGACTACAATGAAGACGCTAAAGATCAATTCTACAATAGGCTGCAGTCAATCGTCGAGAAGTGCCCAACAAAGGACCTGACCATTCTGATGGGAGATTTCAACGCCAAGGTTGGAACGGACAACACTGGATATGAAGACATCATGGGACGACACGGACTGGGAGAAAGAAACGAAAATGGTGAGAGATTTGCAAATCTATGTGCCTTCAATAAGCTGGTCATAGGCGGCACCATATTCCCACATAAACGCATACACAAAACCACATGGACTTCACCGGATCACTCTACACAAAACCAAATCGACCATATTTGCATCAACAAAACGTTCAGGAGGACTATAGAGGACGTGAGAACCAAGAGAGGAGCTGATATAGCATCAGATCATCACTTGCTGGTCGCCAAGATGAAATTGAAACTCAAGAAGCACTGGACAACGGGGCGGACAATATCACAAAAGTTCAATACGGCCTTTCTTCAGGATACTAACAAACTCAACAAATTCAAGATAGTCCTCAGCAACAAGTTCCAGGCCTTTCATGATCTACTCAATGGAGAAGGAACTACTGTGGAGAGCAACTGGAAGGGGATCAAAGAGGCAATCACTTCAACATGTCATGAGGTCCTGGGTCACAAGAAGCACCACCACAAGGAATGGATCACTGTTGATACACTGGATAAGATTCAAGAAGAGAGGAACAAGAAGGCAGCAATCAATACCAGTCGAACAAGAGCAGAAAAAGCCAAGGCACAAGCTGAATACACAGAAGTAAACAAACAAGTGAAGAGGAGCATCAGAACCGACAAACGTAAATATGTGGAAGATTTAGCAACGACGGCGGAAAAGGCTGCAAGAGAAGGAAACATGAGACAATTGTATGACACGACAAAGAAACTCTCTGGAAATCGCCGCAAACCAGAACGACCAGTGAAAAGCAAGGAAGGCGAGGTAATCACCAACATTGAAGAGCAACAAAACAGGTGGGTAGAACACTTCAAAGAACTCTTGAATCGACCAGCTCCACTGAACCCACCCAACATCGAAGCAGCACCCACGGACCTCCCAATCAATGTTGGCCCACCAACAATTGAAGAAATCAGCATGGCCATCAGACAAATCAAGAGTGGCAAAGCAGCAGGACCGGACAACATCCAGCAGAGGCACTAAAAGCAGACGTAGCGGCAACTGCAAGGATACTCCACATTCTCTTCAATAAGATTTGGGATGAGGAACAAGTACCAACAGACTGGAAAGAAGGACTTCTGATCAAAATACCGAAGAAAGGCGATCTCAGCAACTGTGATAACTACAGGGGCATCACTCTTCTCTCAATACCGGGAAAAGTCTTCAACAGGGTATTGTTAAACAGGATGAAGGACTGCGTAGACGCCCAACTTCGTGACCAACAGGCAGGATTCCGTAAGGATAGATCGTGTACAGACCAAATCGCAACTCTACGGATCATTGTGGAACAATCAATTGAATGGAATTCATCACTCTACATCAACTTCATTGACTACGAAAAGGCATTTGATAGCGTGGACAGAACAACACTATGGAAACTTCTTCGACACTACGGCGTGCCTCAGAAGATAGTCAATATCATACAGAATTCATATGATGGATTACACTGCAAAATCGTGCATGGAGGACAGTTGACAAAGTCGTTCGAAGTGAAGACCGGTGTTAGGCAAGGTTGCTTACTCTCACCCTTTCTCTTTCTCCTGGTGATCGACTGGATCATGAAGACGTCAACGTCTGAAGGGAAGCGCGGGATACAATGGACATCTAGGATGCAGTTGGATGATCTAGACTTCGCAGATGATCTGGCCCTTCTATCCCAAACGCAACAACAGATGCAGGAGAAGACGAACAGTGTGGCAGCAGCCTCAGCAGCAGTAGGTCTCAATATACACAAAGGGAAAAGCAGGATTCTCCGATACAACACAGAATGCACCAATCCAATCACAATTGACGGAGAAGATTTGGAAGATGTAAAAACCTTTACATATTTGGGCAGCATCATTGATGAACAGGGTGGATCTGATGCAGATGTGAAGGCGCGGATCGGCAAAGCAAGAGCAGCATATTTACAACTGAGGAACATCTGGAACTCAAAGCAACTGTCAACCAACACCAAGGTCAGGATTTTCAATACAAATGTCAAGACAGTTCTACTGTATGGGGCAGAAACCTGGAGAACTACGAAAGCCATCATCCAGAAAATACAGGTGTTTATTAACAGTTGTCTACGCAAAATACTTCAGATCCGTTGGCCGGACACTATTAGCAACAACGTACTGTGGGAGAGAACAAACCAGATCCCAGCGGAGGAAGAAATCAGGAAGAAGCGCTGGAAGTGGATAGGACACACATTGAGGAAAGCACCCAACTGCGTCACAAGACAAGCCCTCACATGGAATCCTGAAGGTCAAAGGAAAAGAGGAAGACCAAAGAACACATTACGCCGAGAAATGGAAATAGACATGAGAAAAATGAACAAGAATTGGATGGAACTAGAAAAGAAGGCCCAGGACAGAGTGGGTTGGAGAATGCTGGTCAGCGGCCTATGCTCCATTGGGAGTAACAGGCGTAAGTAAGTAAGTAAGTTTTACACGATAGTGTTAAAGGTATGGCGAAAGTATGTAGCTTTATCTGAGACATTTTTAAAACGCAATATCCCAATTAAAGAATACAGTTTTTTTTTGTTGAATTTTACAGCTTTTCTTCTTGCCTTATGGATTGACGATCACAAAATATCGAGGAATTTAAATTGTTGCTCATTTTGCTCTAGGACATGCAGTCATTTGCGTATCCAAAGAAAATATTGATATCTCAAATTGGTTTTAAATTCTTTGAGAAGTACTGTTATAACTTTATTAATGTAAAGCTTTTAACACTTATGGTGTTATATTGTTCTTTTTGATTATTTATTAAATAAATGTACTTCTTAACATACATGGTTTTCTATTTCTTTATTTATTGTTTATTCATTAACTGTCATTAGTAATGTAGGAATTAAATGCAAAGGAAAAATATAAAGTAACTTTTTCAGAAAAATCATCCACACATTTGATTAATAAAATAAAACAATGTACAAGGCGCTTATAAAAGATAATTATTATATTCAAATGGATGTACTAAGATTTTACGCAAATTGTTTTCCTTACCATGATGGTCACAAAGAGTTCAATCATTTATTATTTTGTTTTTCTAGTACGATTAGGACTAATTAAAGTAATAACCGAACTGATACATGTTTGATATGCTCTGAACACATCACTTTCTGTCACAGTTTTTTCAAATGTCTTTTTGTGCAAAATATAATTTACAATGTTCATAAGACAGGAATATCATAGATCGATAAACAAAATAACTTTTCCCACTATAATGTGTACAGAACATTATGCAATGTATATATCTGTATATTTTCGAATAAATGTTTTCTAAAATGTGAGAAACTCAATTTATATAATTGTAGCGGCTATTGATATGTAACATTGTGATAATTAGGAGTATTTGAATTATAATACTAATTAAGAGTCCAAAAAAACGCAATTGGATCAAGAATTACTAGGTAAGCACGGACGAATGCAGTGTATTTGGGATTCGAAATCAAGCATTCAACAAGTACAAAGGAATCGTTAGTTCATTCAATCACAACAAACATACTCTGTATGAGACAGTATCGTATAACGCTAGGTCGCAAACAAGTTAGTCTATTCTGAAGACAAACTAGAAAGAAGGTTGAAATGGCTGAGAGGAATAGCGTTGCATATTATCCGTGCCAGGTCCTATCCATAATACTTGACTAACCGAAATCAGCTTATATTGTCTTCTCGTGTCAGCATCAATGTCGTTTGTCAGGAAGCTGCTCATTATGAGTCATTATTTACTGTTATTTAAAAGTAAACATATATGACACTTTGTTAAGATTATAAATGTCAAATAATTTAGTATCTTGCACACTTCACGTACAAACGAATTTAGAGACAAATCCAGTGAAGCTGTACGTCAGCTTGTTTTTTAGAATAATGATCTTAGATTGGTTATATAACCGAAGTGAGTATGCCAAGGACATTTCTTCCATTTTAGTATAAGCGATCGTGTTTCAGTAATATCGATATCGTTAATATACTCAAAATTTCCCCAAACAGAGTTTAAAATATTTCATTAGAATTACCAATAAATTGTCAGGCTGATTTTTATCGTGAGACGTAATTTGCTTGTGATAGCTTATTCGTAAACTGAGCCACATGAGTATAGGTATTTGTCATTACATGTTTTTGTAAATACCACATATATATACTTTACTTCAATAAAGTTACCCTTCTTGTCCATCCATTTATTTAATAAAGACTGAGAAATATGACACAAGTCCTAGATAAAAGTTAACACAAAACGAAGGGTGTAACTCAAGAAATATGAAAATTGCAAGATAAGACACTGGTGAGATTTTCAAATAATTCATTCTGTTACAAGAACTAATTTGGTTGGCATATTCCTCGACTATAAAAGTAAATTTCCATTTTGTCGGGAAAGAAGATTATGATCAAAAGTTTCAGTTCTTCACCTTTATTGGTGTGTTATTCATCATTTGGTCAGTCGTGAGCAACATGGAACTTAGTATGTCAATATGTCGGTTAAAGTTGACAAGACTCATTAGCACAATAATGTGACCAATAAATGTTAATCTCAGTTTAGAAGCAGTATCATTTTAAACGTTGGGTGAAGAAATCAAAGAAGCATAAGTATATTTTGCGACTTATAACCTAAGACGATGCAAACACTGGATACACCTATGACAATGATAATAAATTTGAGAATTATAACCCTCATCAACGTACAATAAGTATTAGTAGTAAGGGGTGCTCACAAACATTAGTTTAAGAGTTGACACCAACCATTCATGAACCAACTCAACAATGAGACTGGTATTATGGAAAATATCTATGACAAAAGGATTTCTGTCTTTCCTTGTATACTTGAGTGAGCGAAAATCAAATCCAGTCAGATGAGATGAAATCACATCCCTCAACGTTACCTTATGTCTCATTTATTTTTAACGCCAAAACCATGATCCCATAATTGTATGTCGCTGGTGTCAACCACCCTCTAGTCCCAAATGACTGCAGGTTTTCCAAATTTTTCGGGTATATACAGGCTTAGGTCTATCTGATATTACAGTGGTCTCAGTACAACTGTTTAGACAACAACCAGATTATTCCCCTGTTTTCTTGATTAGGCAGGATAAGTATTTAACATTATCTACCAACGCTTATTTTTGAATATGTTTTACCTGTGCTGCTCATCACTGCTCATGACCATTCCCTGTGCTTTTAGTCAATTCATATTAAGTTTCCATCGACCGTTATTGTTTCTGAAGCATGAGAGGATGAGCTTCTCATTGATGTAGTTGCTAGAAAACGTTTGTTGTATGAATCTCTTATGTTAGTACAGGTATTTACGTTTATGCCAGGTAAAATAAAGTATCCGTGTTCACATATTACTTATAAGATGTTTCAAAAGTAACCACTAAAGCAACTAGTACTACACATAACAAGAGGAGCAGAATCACATTTTCATAAAATGTTCGTCATTTCAAACCCCATTGTAGCGGAATACGTAGCATTTCCAAGGTAATAAGGCTCCAGTTCGTTTTACATATCAGCAAATAACATTTTTATATCAATGAAGAAATAAAGAATCCACGATAAACAACTAAAGCTAGCTTTGGGAATATGATTTCACTCGACTCAAAGCTTGTTGAATACTGACATATATATTTCTAAAGACAGCAAGCTTTTATTTTATCCATGGTTCACTGTTATATCCTCATCTATCCCAACGGTATTGTAATTTAAACTTAACTTTTCTTGCCCCATTTTCCTACATTGAAGCGTATCGTGGACATAATTGTATTTGTCTAATTGTTTTGCGGTGCGGTCATATTAGTCACCTACCTATTCATATTTCGTTTCAACATTAGTCTGAATAAAAATAAATCTAGTAGTGCTTCAGTTGACTCGTCATCTCTATCTCTCTCTTGATAAACAGCCAATAATCTTTGTCTCTCTGCTCAAGCCTTTAGTCTCAACTCGGAACCACGCATTATTAGACTCAAGGTCCACCAGTTAGACTGTTGTGTCAAGACACTAACCTAGATCGAGGCAAGTTCGTTCCTGAATATTATTGGGTGGACTTCAAGAAAGTAACAGTTTTGTTCTGATGTTCAAAAACTCCGTGACGCAGTCATTCCATCACAATCTTAGAAGAACGTAGAACTGACAGACACTGTAGGCATGTGAAAGCAGCTCATGAGACCGATTACTAACTCAAACACTCGAAGAGATATCCTCAAACACAGCACTTTTGACTACAGAAAGAAACATCTCGGAGAAATCCAGTATTTTTTAAACTCTTCTTTTAACTGGAATAGTAATTTGCATGATATGGAAAACTAGAGCTCAGAGAGCAAAATTAGCTCTGGAGTGACGTGGGGTGAGCTATAGATTTATATAACAAATTGATTCTGAAGAACTGATGGAAGTCACTCTCCTAAATGTTGGAAAACTGAAGCACCGAGTAAAACACTCGAAGGGAAAACTTCTTTATTAAAGGTGGGTTTTTATTTTACGAACGAATAGCAACTAATGATCACAAAATACATTCTCTTTCAAAGCCCCCTCTATTTCCGAATTTCTTTAATCAACTGCGCTTCGCCTTGGATCCATCATATATCTGTCTGGCTGTGTATCGGATATAGATCTTGCATGATCTAGAATGTACTCGCTAGTATTAGAATAAAAACCGAATTTGGAACAGACTCTCTCGGTTCCTGGAATTAAATCTGATTAACGTATCTGTTATGTTGAACTAAATCAGCTCTATCTTAAAAGTAGGTACTGGGTAATAACTCAAAAAACATTCATCTGTACTTTTACCCAGTGTAACTTTAAGGATTTTGGAAGACATCGTTCACGAAATGTTGTTTAAGCATCGAAATGAAACCTGGCTCTCCCCTAAGAAAATAACTTTATTAGAATGTCTCCAACATTTTCGCGTCATAAGAACGTTGGCATACCCTGTGTAGCGGTAAATAAATCCTTAAAATAAATAGCTCTGTAAGTTTTCGATATTGAATGCTGACCACGTGTTTTAATGGACTCACCTAGCTGAAGGCACTCTTTGATGCATCCGCACCAGATGACGTGTGGGAACGCCGTGCTCAACATCTACTGCAATTGCTAGCCAGACTAGATCAGACAATTCCGTTATATTGACAATCGTCAAATACAAACTCTGATCTCCTCGATTCTGTCTTTTGATTTCTCTTGGTGGGTACGAGTTATATTAGGTGTTACTGGTAAAAGCTTTGTCAAACACTGAATATCTGTGCCATCTTCACCTGAAACCCATTGTATTTTCCCCGGTAAAAACGTTTGATAGAGTTCCACGAAGTGGACCAATACCTAAATTAGGCCATATAGAGGAAAGTTTTATCAACAAAACTCTGGAAAAGTGTTTGACGGAGTACTCCAAAGAATAGTATAGACCCTAATGTTTCTTGTATGTTTTTTTCTTGTATGTAGATAACACGCCTAGTGTCCTATCATTATCAACCTTTTTATATGCCAACGATATACATATACATGTGAAAAGCCTCACATGATGGAGATGACAGTTTCAGCCGCGGATATTGTCTGAGTGGTTCAAAATTTAGTAGTTGTTGCTCACTATTTACCTCAACACATGTTTCGAACTCAATCTGTCAAATCACCTACTAGAGTAGTAAATCAGCTGAATAACTATCACCACCAATACTAACAAAAGCGACCCAGCATCCAGTTCTTGATATACTTAAGAGAGTAAACAAATGTATTGTGACTTTAAAAAACTATTGATGAGCTGACTTTCAAGGGAATATATTGAAGATTTAAGAAGTGGATAATAAACTAAGAACCCGAACTAATCAACACACAATCTTGGAGATGATGAAAAAAGCAGCTAAAATTTGTTTAAATCCATCACACCTTCATACTCTTGCGAGTACGAATTCGACTGGAGGGTTACTTGTGTTGAGTTCCAGTTGATTATTGGTTTTGGAAGATGGTAGGAATGTGAGACTAATATATGCACCTATTTTGATTTAGAAAGAAGAAAGAAAAAACTTAATATTGGGTTGTATCGCTATTACCGGGGGAATTTTGATTAATTTGACTTTCGGTTACTTCTACACTGTTGGTGAGTCCTTTGAATACGTCTTCTTATTTACCAGCTAATATGGTACCCTACATAATGGGATATGTACAAACAGCAATAGATCCTTATATATCCAATCAAGCTTCCATATGGCTATCAGCTATTGCTTTAGCAGTTCAAGGGATTTCAATGCCTGTCGTGGCATAATAGCTGATAAATTGGGATTTAGAGTGGTGGTTGCAGTGAGCTGTCTTACAATGAGGTATGTTGTCAGAGGTTTTGCCCTCAACTTTTTGGGCTTTATGCCTCATATGGTTTACATTCTGTGTTGTAATGTACCTATAAATACTCTCATGGATATTTAGCTTGCTAACTAAATTTTACATAGGACTCTAATAGAAGTAGGATTGTTTAAACTAAAAAGAATTTCTTACAGTTTTAATACTCATTGAATTGCTTATTTTCTGTAGCGGTGGAGTTCTTTTGACTTACTTCACAATTCGAACAACTTATGTTGGCGTGGTTATAACCTATGCAGTCTTAATGGGTTCTGGTTTGGGACTTGGATACTCAGTAGTACTAACAGTTGCAGCTTCGGTAAGAAGTTTTGTATGAGATAAGTTTTTTACAAATATAAACTTTTCTATAAAAGGTCAGAATATTTGTCCGATGATTCCACATAATCCTTAAGCTATATTTTGCCTTGGAATTATGAAACTACACCGTACATCTTTTGAAGTTAAAAGCAAAGGCTTACTTCGTGTTGAATCATTTTTGCTTCAATGAGATGATATATATACGTCAATCTATTAGTTATGTTTCCAACTCCTTTGGGTTTATCAGTTGTCTCAGTTGTATAGAAAGTTTCATACGATGAATATACGCTAAAATTTTGCTAACTGCATAATTTGCTAAACCAAATTTAGATGACATACCGAGACTATTTGAGTTGGACGGGAAGTTCAAAAAATACATTGAAATGTTTGGTGGTTCTCTATCATTCTGTGTATTTGATATGTTATTGTTATGTTAGTGATCTCATCCTGTTATATTCATTGAAGTTTAAATGAGTTACCACCAAGATGATAACCTTCAAAAAACTGTGATTTGTTGAGTAAATGATAAAATATTTTGTATTAATTTTGTTTCTGTGAGTCAGTAGTGGCTTGTTACATTGTTTTACAGGAGATAAATTAAATTTAGAGAGTATAATCAGCTGAAGTTTAACACACTAACACGAATCTTTCATTTAGTTCTACCAATACTGGTCTTGAGTTTTCTCAGTATAGTCGTAAAATACATCATCATTACATAATATCAAATCAAGTATTATTTTGGCCGACCGCTAATGCTACCTTGAGGTGGTAGTCGAGCTGCCATTAGTGATAAAAAAACCGAGATATATTGACTGGAAAAATTGTTTCTCGATGTCCTGCATGCCAGACAGGTCGGTTGAAGAGCGGTAAGAGTAAAGGCAGCAAACCCAAAGACCGAATGCGAAGTCGTACTGTTGACTGTATAGAGCTGTGACGGCAGTAAGGTATTTCCTCCACACAGCCAGCATAACAGCGAAGTTGCCTTCCCACGAGGAGGGATGTGGTTAGAAAGGCTGGAGCCTAAAAGTGCACACCTCGTCTTATTCTAAGAATATCCGTCTCCGGTAGGTAACATTAGACAGCTTTTCAGACTTATGAAAGGCACCGGAATTATGAAGTCGAGTATAAGTAAGACGATCTCGGAAAAAGACGATACTCTTATCTGCTCTCAGTCCAGAAGTTTACAACGATGAGTGGAACACTTTAAGGAGCAGTTCAGCTGGCCTTCGGCCACCCAACATTTCCAGATAGTCTGAATGAAACATTGAAATAGGCCCCTTTACTTCAATGGAAGTTTAAAATGATATAGTTAATCTAAAACGAGGAAGAGCAACTGGTCCATATGGATTAATTCCAGAGGTCTTCAAGTGTGCTGGTCCAGTTTTAGAGATTAAGTTGACCAATATTTTAGCTAAAATATGGGAACTGAATGTAATCCTATCTGACTGGTCGCAATCTCTGGTCGTCCCAATATATAAGATATGATCAAAATCATCCTGTGGTAACCACAGAGGGATTAGTCTGACTAACATAGCATCTAAAATACTAGCCTCAATAATTATGGAATTCCTAACAAAGACTCGTGAAATGCAAACACGATAAAATCAGGCTGGCTTCAGACCTAGTCGTGGCTGCATCGACCACATATTCACCATTTGTCAGATTTTAGAACACAGGCTTGCTTATCGGCGTCCGACAATGGCAGTTTTTCTTGACCTAAAAGCATCATTTCAATCTGTAGACCGAGAGGTTCTGTGACAGTGTCTGTCATTGAAAGGTGTACCTCAGAAGTACACAAACCTTGTGAAGGCTCTTTACTCGAACATTACCAGTCGAGTCAAAGCTTATGATGAAGTGTCATCTGATTTCGCAACCTCAAATGGTGTCCGTAAGGCTGTCCATTATCTCCAATTTTGTTTAAGCTCATCATAGACTTACTGATGAAAATTACGCTCTTGTCGATTGAACTTTTGGGCGCTGATCTCCTATCAAGAGGTCCACTTATTGTCTCATGATACACAGATGAAATAGTTGTGTTTGGTGAAGACACTGATAAAATGCAGTGTTATGGTAGTACTGAACGGTCAAATCAAAACGTGGCATCAGTGCTTTAAGTCACTGACTTCTATTCTTAGCCATGTTGGTAGATGCAGACTACTTGGTTGGGGTCCGCGCAACTATTGTAACCAGTGGTCGGAGACTCAGAGTGACACATCTCACAGTCGATCACAATGGCGTAGATGTATACTCTCTTCGTCTTCCATTAAACTGCGAGATTAAAATTGCTTTATACCCTTCTTTCTACCAACTAATTCGTTTTCCCTGTATCATAACCTTATATGAAATGTTTCTTTTACTACCATTGAAGCAACTGCTTCTATGAATTTTGTGTTCATCTCGTTGTGCTGATGAGGTATGGCAACTTGGACCGATGCATATATGTGCCTGGTCCTACGTTACAGCTGACTAACTGACTGACTGACTGAAATATCGTTTTGCTGAATTTAGTTGTGAAAGTATATGCCTTACATCCAAACGAATATATCTTGAAGCTGCAGTGGGCCTGATAAAAATAAGAATATTAGTATCCTAACTTACGAACTGATTGCCGAACCACTGCATATATTTTTCTGATGAAATTGTACATTTGAATTTTTTTGCGTACGACATATTTTACGTAACAGTTTACTATTTTGGTCACATAATAAAAAGCCGGGTCTGGAAATTACAAGGTTTTAGCTGGCGAATAATATTCTTACTTACAGTTTTTTATTACTTAGAGTTTTTGCTATCTATGACAAAAAGCTTAGGCGTATTATTTAGGTGACCTTTGTTACTTATGATTGACTGAATAATCCAGCTGACAATTTTTTGCCTGGAAGAAATTTTGTGTTATTAGAGTCATTAGCACTTATCACATATATATAATTACTAGTATTATCTCGTCTCGTTATAGTGGTTCCCAGATCATCGCGGCCTGATTGTTGGAATGGTGGCCGGTGGGTTTGGTCTTGGAGCATTGGTTTTCACACCAATTCAAACAGCACTGATCAATCCCAATAATGTAAAGGTGAATAATGTTACAAGGTAGGAAAATCGTATGTTAGATAGACATAAAAACTCTTTTATACAGCTTTTTTACACTAGAAGTATTCAACAGCAATCACAAAAACTGAAACTGAAGAGTGATCTCACATACAGCTCCATTTTATCCACTGATACTGAATAATCTACCTAAGGAGAGCTTATCCTGTTTTATCTGTTAAATTATAGCTTTAGATTAAACAGTTTGTCCATAAATAATTTATTTTATTGTTTAAAGTTGGGTTAAACAAAGTTACAAATTAAGTAGAGTTTTCGAAATCGATAAAAATGCTTGTGAAACTGAAGAATAATATTGTTGTATTTATAATTATGCCTTCAGAATTATAAACTTTTTTGCATATAAACTAGTCCATTTGATTAAAACAAGAAAAAATAATCAAAATACTGAACCCTAATCACACGAATGCTGAAAGTAAGAACAAGAGCTATCTTTAATGAGTTCTGAAAAAGTTATTTTTACAGTATACCTAATGGTTTGATATTGTACTCCTAAACATCTCAAGCTCTAGGATTAATGACCTCATACACAACAGTGGATGATGCATCGTCTAGCTCATAACTTTTAACAAACGGGAAAATCAAGTGTAGAGATGAAAACTTCTGCATTGGTATAGATTAAGGTTTTGATTACTTTGTTTAGAAACTTGAACAAATGTCCTATTTAAAATTTACTGCTGGGCTTTTAACTTACATAACAGCTTTTGATAGGTTAAGGGGTGTGGCTTAGTAGGCTAATGACCCTAAACATTATAACACAAAATAATGAAACAAACATAAACCTCACTTTGATTTCTGGATGGTACTAACAGATGCAAAAAGTAGTAATTAGTCTCTAGTGTGTTCATCGGTAGTGCGTTGGACGTTTCGACAACGTTTCCCAACAAATTAGGCATTTTTATTCGAATAAAATACCTTGGTTTTAGAGTAGTACCTTATATAATTTACCGTATTCCTTTTTAATTTGTGGTATTTTGCGGTGAACTAAAACACTTGGAGCATTTCAGTTTCATTAAACGTACTTTGAGTGGAAAACATTTTTCTAATTGCTCAGTTCTGTAATGAAAGCAGTTTATGATCACGTAATTATATATATACTCTAAATAACGAAGGCGTTCAGCTTTTATAAAAAGAAAAACTGAGTATATTCAACTATGGTAACTTGAAAAGTGTCAACGGTAATGTTTTGGATCATAAGCACAAATTATCTTTCATTTTACGTGAATACTCAAAAGTTTCAACTTTTACGTAATATGTAGGTATACAGTTTTGTTTTACATTGATAGACGATTTACCGATCCTGACGTCTTGGACCGTTTACCGTCAGCATTTCTCATACTTGGTGGTATTTTGCTGTTTATTCAAGTTATTGGATTTGGATTATTACGTCCTAAACCTACTTCAAAACGTGTAAGTTAAATATTTTAGAATATAATGATTCCTATGCTGCAAACATATTAGGATAATTTGCACCGATTATATGGGGTCCCATTTGAATTTAGCAAGATAAAAATAAAAGACTAATTGGAAGAGTGATCAAGCCATAGGCTGGTCTATATAATATTTATCCATAACTACTCAATTGAACAGGTATTTTGCTGCTTTTTCCTCTCAAAATAAATTATTAGAAGTTATCTAATTTTTTATACGTTAAAAAATTTCTACTTGAAATCCATTTAAATGAATATAACTATGTTAAATCAACCAAATAAGTAATCTCCGACTCTCAGTAGTCAGTAAAATTACGGAATTCTGTGAACATGATTTCATTATGAAGCCGAAAATTAATTGCTCTCTAATTGTAATAATAATCCTCACAAAATGACATCAGTTTTATTGCTCTAAAAATTCTTTCAGCTGCTTATTTTCAAATGTTTAAAAATCAAGCGAATTGTTTTTGTTTTTTTTGGATTTTCAAGTCCATAATTAATGAGTTGACTGAAAACTACAGTATTATTACATTCTAGATCGTGAGTTCTGTTTTACATTCCTGAGCGAGGTTGCATCACTGTATTCTCTAGTCGTTACCAAACAAAATTTAGCTTTCCACGGAATACGACATGTTAATTTGAACAAATATTTTTTGACTGAACTCTTATATTTCAAGCCTTGACACCTTTAACTATTCTCAAAGATTTATAGGATCACAAAACAAAATAAAAAATGTAATTAACATGACTCAGTCAATTATGACCGGTTGAAGTGTAGCTGTATCACCCATAATATTTGATATTTCTTTTTTGTTAAAATATTGTAAATTATCTCAAATATAACGATGTGTTATCAAGTCATGAAATGAAAAATATCGTAAGAAAGACTATTTCAACGTGAGACGCTAAAAAATGGATAACTTTGAGGAATCCACCTCTAGGGATCATCTCCATAAATGACCTCATATTTATTGATCTTTGAGATGTGTTTTTTTTGGGTAGGCAGAAAGTTTACTGATTAATTACTAAACTTTATATGATGTGATATTTTTAGCTAACTGAACTCATAATTGTAAATCCTAATGAGTACATTTGCATGGTAAATATTTATTTTGTGCCATAGATATTCCATTCAACATGTATCTCTAATTCCTGTTCTAGGCAAGTAGTTCAAACACAAGTAATCCGAATTACAGCCCAAAGGCATCATCCTCACTTGTAAGTTAAATACAATATGCTATTTTCCGTCTTAACTTCTTTTACTACATTGTCTAGTTTTATAAATTAAAGTAGCGAGATTAGTTAACTGATCAAAGTTGTTATAAATGGATAACTTATTTGATTTCACAGCGTCGTAGGTTCGTGTAAAAGGTTTTATTTTTAAAAAAACTTCACGAAGTGATTTTCACTAAAACAAGCTATAGAGTCATCAACGCTCGTGCTCGGAACTGATTTTCGTAAGCATCCTATCTATCCGAGTCAACTGCTTTGTACTGCTTGCTACAAGGCAATGTTGGACATGTAGTTCTATGATTTATGTGGAAGGACACAGATATGTAGATCATCAACGTAAATGATCTTTGTCGAGTGATTGGGAGACTACTCGGGTTAGACGGGAATGGTGTAATCAACAGCTAACTTTGAGCTCACACCTCGCGGCCAGCATCTAACGTGGATTACCCTTCGACGTATCAAAGTACTAGGACTGTTTTAAAGACCGTACAACACATAGGACGTTATTACGGAAGTATATTAGTAAGAATAAGTACAAGCGGAAGTGCGACCACCACCGCAAGAGCTAGTCCATGGCGTACGGTTAACTGATGCGTGTTAGTTGTCCTTGACCCTGACGAAAATTAATGATCTGTTTGATATTCAGTAATCCAACTGCCAGATGATCTGGCTAGGGCTCAGTGACATTTCAATGGCCCTACAACTAAATCTGGGATAACCCCTATCACTGTTAGTTTGAATAGATCATACATCGCACTAGGCAAGTGTCATCCGGGAAAACGATTGAGTATCCCCATCTCCAAATAAATAAATCTATACTTCTGACTTCTATACTATAAAATACGCAGGTTTTTTATAATAGTTCTTCTGAAATGATGTATGGGTGAAGAAGATAATGATTAGTCGTTTGTTTAGTCAAACTAGTAGATAATCTGACAGGTAATAGATGAGTTATCTATTCTCCTACCCTGGATTATGAAGACCTCGACATCTGAGGGAAAACACGGCATACAATGGACCGATCAGAAGCAATTAGACGATTTGGATTTCGCAGATGACCTAGCCCTCGTATCCAATACACACGAACAAATGCAGATAAAGAAAGCCAGTGTAGCAGCAGTCTCTGCATCAGTAGGCCTCAACATACACAAAGGGAAAACCAGGGTCCTCAACTTCAAAACGGAGAACAGCAGTTCAATCACTCTTGATGGCGAAACTCTGGGAGATGTAGAGTCCTTCACATACCTGGGAAGCATCATCGATGAACAAGGAAGTTCAGATACAGACGTTAAGGTGAGGATTGGCAAAGCAAGGGCCGCATTCCTACAGTTGAAAAACATATGGAACTCAAAAAACTTTCAACCAATATCAAAGTCAGAATCTTCAATACGGACGTCAAGGCAGTTCCACTGTATGGAGCTGAAACTTTGAGAATTAAAACAACCATCATCAAGATGGTACAAGTATTTATAAATAATTGTCTACGCAAGATACTCAACACCCATTGGCCTGAAGCCATCAGTAATAGCCTACTGTGGGAGAGAACAAGCCAGCTTCCAGCTGAGGAGGAAATTATTAAAAGACGATGGAAACGGATAGGACATACATTAAGCAAATCATCAAATTGCATCACGAGGCAAGCCCTGACTTGGAATCCTGAAGGGAGGTGGGAAAGAGGAAGGCCAAAGAACACGTTACGTCGGGAAATAGAAGCAGATATGACAAGGATGAATGACAACTGTAAGGAGTTAGAAACGAGTGCCCAGGACAGGGTTGGATGGAGGATGCTGAAGAGCGGCCTATACTCCTTCACGATGAGTAACAGGCGTGAGCAAGTAAGTGACCTTTTTTATTTATTGTGTGTTGTTTGTTCTAGTCAGGCTAATCACTTTTAAAAGTTTGTCTCTTTACCATTCGCTTTTAAATACATACATTAACTTGCTTATTTAATTACTTTTTATTACTCTAGAATGACAAATTGAGCTTATCCAGGTGAGTCTCAGTTTCTATGGCTAAGTAGAGCTACTGATTTTAACTACTTACCCCCACTAACAGCATGCTGTTTATGAGCGGAAATAAATGTTAGTTCACAGGGTAAATTAAATCTGTATTAACTAAAGGGCTAGCTCATAAGTAAAATCGTTTTTATAATTCATCATGCTTTACACCAATCAGAAATAAATTAACCATACAAAGGTTGTTGGTATTCGAAGAGACTATAACAAACGGATGTTGTATTCCCTTACATTACCAATAAATTTTTTATTGTTCATTGATAACGGAGTAAGTTCTAATGATCGTATACAATTCAATGATAAAAGTTGATATATTTATAAAATTTCGAAATAATTATTCATCATATATTCGACACATTATCACATTAGTAACAAGTATAAAGTAGACTTTATTAGAAATAAATAGAATTTGAGAAAGAATTTAGTAGCATGTAATTACAATAAATTGTAACATTACTGCCCTTTAAAAAAAATACAATGACTGCACTTAGTTTACCCGTTATTTGATAAAAAGTAATTTAACTTTCAGGTATTTTAATATTTTGTAGTACTTTTTTATTAGTTAAATTATTTGATTTCAACGACCTAGTTGTAGACTGAAATGCACCTCAACCTACTGTGGTCGAAGTTGCCGTATAGCCCATACTAAAAACTAACTTCACGTTTGACAATCTGTACAGATCTTTTGTCTTAATATTAATCATGTACCTAACAATGACTAATGTGGAGACGGATTTTTAAAATTCTCGTTAAATGCTTTGACAGGTGGATTAAATCGCACAGACAGTGAGACAGTCATTACTGATGGTATTAGATAATGGTTAAATCGCTAGCTTTAGGCCAATCGATTGCAGGTTTAAAGTTTTCCCATCTTACGTTGGTTTGGTCAACCAAATAATATCACTACTCCTGAATTACTTTACAAAAAATTAATTAAGTTATAATCTTTTTTAAACTGTTTTAACTTCAACTCGTGTATTAACCATTGGTAAATATTTTATTTTCCAGGGAAATCAATATCAGTCCAAAACAAGTTTTTCGTTATATTGATTTTTATCTATTATGGTGCATAATGTTCTGTGACATAATACCAATCACCATCATTACTTCTGCGTACAAAGTAAGAGTCACATTTACATTCCATTCATTTAAATGACATTAAACTACTCGTAAGTATTTTTGATAAATACCCCATAACAAATATATCTATATTAATAGACCAGTTAGTAAATCAAACTATTCAATATTATGCCTTTAGCAGTTACGTTGAAGAAATGTTATTGTTGTTTGATCGAATAACTATGAGAATAGTAGTGTCTGTTAATTGAAATGAATAAATGTTTATTTATTTGGTCGCTGTACCATCAGCAGAAGTAATCGTGTTTATATGACTAAAACAAACTTTATACTCCTATTTCCGAATAATAGTAATAATAACAATTTAAGTTAATAAAAGAAAATGATCAAATATTCAGTTTCAACAGATATGTATTTGTCTCGTTGAATGTTTGTAGAAAATACACAATCTAACTCTGATATACCTTGATTTCATTTCGATTCGTTCAATAAGTCAGAGTATTTAATTGAGAAAATATTGATAAGAACTTGTGATATTTCCCATGGGTACGTCAACGTCACTCAATCTGTAAAATAGGTGTACAAAATCAACAATTTATATTTTAAGTTCGAAGAAATGAAATTTCATTTTATCTAAATCCTCACTGCATCACACTGCTCAACTTCTCACATACTGAACAAGTTATAAAACAATTATTTGTTCTTAGAAGCAGAAGTAGTAGAATAATTACTTATCAGATGTAGTTTCATACTGATTTGTTGTTAATATTCAATTTTTAATGAAAAATCATGTTGTAGTCATATTTTCATTATCTCTTAGTAACTAAAGGAAACTGTTTCAACTGTTCATAAAAATTTGATTTAAAAATATAGATGATGTCTCAAACATTCGGCTGTTTGAGTTTTTTTTTTATACTTTAAACATCTATCACGATCACTGATTAAAGTTGATTAAGTACGGTTTATTGTATATTTATTTCAGCTATTTGGTCAAACATTTATTAGCGATGACAGATTTTTGTCAGCTGTGGCTACAGCTTCATCATTGTTCAACTGTGCAGGACGTATTATCTGGGGTGAAATTGTTGATCGCGTCTCGTTCAAGGTAGTTTGAAGGATGATATGAGAATTGATTTAAACTAAAGTATCTCTAAATCTTTTTTATAGATGCTATAAAACTGCGAACTAACTTTTGCGTTCTTAAAGTACCATAGAAGACATTTAGTTAAAAATTTGAAAAAAGTAAATAAAACCAAATTACTGGAAATAAATTAATCATACTAATTAGTCACATGGAAATATGTTATATTAAAAATCTAGCTTTAATGTATGTTCGTTCAAAAATAACCTGGCAGAATATCTGGAAACATTATTACCATTCGAAACTAGTGAAAATTAGTTTAATAATGAAGGGTACTTCTTGGATATTATGAAGACGTTTGACAAAATTCAAAAATTTAATGTACATCAAAATTCATATTAGCACCTGAACCAGTTAAGAACTTATTAATTTTTTTATTTATTTACGAACAGTGAAAAATCTTTTTTTACTTAAATTGTATAGTATAATCGATTATTAATAACTGACTACTTTAATAAAATTGCAGTTACCAATGTGCACAATGTTACTTACCTGGAGTGTAATTCTGATAACATTTCCGCATATCTCTCTGTTGACGGGGACAACATTAAAAGTTTTTTACACTATATGGGTACTACTCTTATTTTTCACATTGAGCGGTACATTTGTTATTCAGCCTGCGGCAACTGGAACTCTGTTTGGTCCTGTTCATATGGCTGTTAATTATGGCTTAATATTTAGTGCATTTGTAAGTTAACAAGTTTTTTTTCACTTTTAGTGTATTCATTATGCAACCCAGTTATAACTATCTTTAAATTCGGCCGTAATATGAGCTTTAGAATCGATACAATCGAAAACTTAACTAGGTATGAAGTCATTGACTTCAAGTTTGTGAGAGTTTTGGAAGGCGTAAGCATTTCGATTAGTGGATTCTTATAACGTCAAATAGAATTCAGTATTAGATACTTCAGTGTACACATAACTATTATTTATCCTAATTTATATATTGAAGTCTACTTTACCCTAATACATATTTTTAAGTTTCATGATCTTCCGTTGTTATCTATGTCGCTATTATTTTTTATCCAGTTAATAATATATTATTTTTAAATCCATCTGTGTGAAGTAGAGTAAATTTATCCCTGGTTCTATATTGTGAACTTATTTTTACCCGATTTTTGCTGCTACCTTACGTGGTGGTCAGGCTTGTCTATTATAATGAACCGGTCGAGCTATACTGGCTGAAACAATCGTTCCTCAAGGTCCTACCATGCCAAACAGGTCGGTTGAGGAGCGGTAAGAATAAAAGCAGTAAACCCAAAGTCCGAGGGCGAAGTCGTACTGCTGACTGTACAGAGGTGTGACAGCAGTAAGGTGTTTCCTTCCGACAACCAGCATAACAGAGATGTTGCCTTCCCACAAGGAGGGGTGGGGTTAGAAACTGTGTACCCTGAAAATACACATCTCGCCTTACTCCACTGATTTCCTTCCCCGGTGGTAAGATCTCAACAAGCACGGAGCAAACACAAGAATTACTGGTCGTGTGTGACCGGCCTCAAGCAGTTGTTCCTCGGTCACTGCGGCCACGCTCTTGGGTCACTAAGACCAACTCTAACCCGATTTCCTTTGCAGGTACCTCTAGAAGAACTCTTCTACGGTGTAGGAAACTGGGAAGTAATAGCCATCCTCATACCTTTAACAGCACTTACGTTCACTGTTTTCATAATCAATTTCCCTCTTAAGTTTCCATAATTCCTCCTACCTTGACTTTCAATTCTAAACGTCCTCCTTTGACTTCTTTCTCACGTGTTACCACGGCCGACGATTCTAGTGCGCGAAATACTGTCCCAAGTCTACTGGAAGCTCGGTCCATACTACACGTTGGAGCCTTCGAAGTACCTACCGTGTGTCAAATCGAAAAACTTGCCTCCTTAGCTAGGACCGCAGAATCTCATACGATTAATGTAGACTGTATCTCCGGAACATGCATACAGGATCCTGGTTTGGTCATTCACGTGATCCGATCTCGCCAAAATGGGAAACTCTCTGTTTACCTGGTGACCCGATGGCTAGTTCTCGTGGACTGGAGGGTGTAGGCATAGCACTAAATATGAGGTAAGGAGAAGCACTTTTAAAATGGATCCCCGTTAATAGCTGCATATGTGTTGTTCGCTAAACGGCTCCGATAGTGCTGGGAAGGATAGGAATACAATTCATTGCCTTTTCGTCATTTCTGCCCACGCTACCACTGACCGCAGCCCGAATGAATTGGAGGATGACTTTTACAGAAAGTTTTCTGAAATTCTTCAAAAAGCTATACACTCAGACATAGTACTCGTAGTAGGTCAGTTTAATGCACAAGTAAGTAGCTTAAACGAAACAGAAGGACATTTAGGCGGGTATTTCGGTATTCCGGATCAGAGAACAGATCATGGTGACTGTCTGCTGCAACTGTGCTTAGACAATCGTTTATTTTTGACAAGCACTAATTGTGAGCATAAGGAGAGACGTTGTCTAACATGGCGGCCCCCGCATCAAACCAACGATGAACTAAAAGAGACCATATTGCCATCAGTCACCGTTGGAGAGAATCGATAGAAGCCTGACACTCGTTCTAGAATATATACTTAGACTGTGACCATGCTCTAATAAGAGCAGGCATTTGCTTGCGTCTCACTGGACGCAGAAAAGCTACATTAAGAAGACTCATTAGAGTTTAACTCAACGATGTGAAAGCCAAAAGTAGATCCCATGAACAACTGAAGTCACACTCAGGCAATCTTGAAAACGAGGCTGACCCAGGTATTGCTTGGAAAGAAATACGAGCAGATGTGGAAGAAGCAGCGACATCTATTAGTGATATGAACCAAAAGGTTATGAAAAACCAGTGGATTTCTGCGACATCTATTGCACCGATAGATTCTTCTAAGCTTATCCCATCAGGCTTCGTACACGGTGAAGAGCCTAAATAAGTCAGTTATATGTTAACCAAAAGTCTGCGGAATGACCGTGGGCAGTGGTGAGCAACGAAACAGAAGAGAAGGAACAGGCAGCGTCTGTAGGTAACATTAGACAGCTTTTCAGACTTATGAAAGGCACCGGAATTATGAAGTCGAGTATAAGTAAGACGATCTCGGAAAAAGACGATACTCTTATCTGCTCTCAGTCCAGAAGTTTACAACGATGAGTGGAACACTTTAAGGAGCAGTTCAGCTGGCCTTCGGCCACCCAACATTTCCAGATAGTCTGAATGAAACATTGAAATAGGCCCCTTTACTTCAATGGAAGTTTAAAATGATATAGTTAATCTAAAACGAGGAAGAGCAACTGGTCCATATGGATTAATCCCAGAGGTCTTCAAGTGTGCTGGTCCAGTTTTAGAGATTAAGTTGACCAATATTTTAGCTAAAATATGGGAACTGAATGTAATCCTATCTGACTGGTCGCAATCTCTGGTCGTCCCAATATATAAGATATGATCAAAATCATCCTGTGGTAACCACAGAGGGATTAGTCTGACTAACATAGCATCTAAAATACTAGCCTCAATAATTATGGAATTCCTAACAAAGACTCGTGAAATGCAAACACGATAAAATCAGGCTGGCTTCAGACCTAGTCGTGGCTGCATCGACCACATATTCACCATTTGTCAGATTTTAGAACACAGGCTTGCTTATCGGCGTCCGACAATGGCAGTTTTTCTTGACCTAAAAGCATCATTTCAATCTGTAGACCGAGAGGTTCTGTGACAGTGTCTGTCATTGAAAGGTGTACCTCAGAAGTACACAAACCTTGTGAAGGCTCTTTACTCGAACATTACCAGTCGAGTCAAAGCTTATGATGAAGTGTCATCTGATTTCGCAACCTCAAATGGTGTCCGGTAAGGCTGTCCATTATCTCCAATTTTGTTTAAGCTCATCATAGACTTACTGATGAAAATTACGCTCTTGTCGATTGAACTTTTGGGCGCTGATCTCCTATCAAGAGGTCCACTTATTGTCTCATGATACACAGATGAAATAGTTGTGTTTGGTGAAGACACTGATAAAATGCAGTGTTATTGTAGTTCTGAGCAACAATGCCAGGATATTTGGGATGCGTTTCTGCTCCTCCAAATGGAAGTTGTTGCTTCAGGACTGGTCTGCGTCAACATCGGGACTAAGGGTAATGAGTGAAGTGGTCAAACGCGTCGATAACTTCACTTATCTTCGGAGTCTAATCAGCCCTAATGTGTTGGTATGTGACTAGATCTATGCACGAATTCAGAATGATCGTTTGGCTTTTGACAACTCATATCAACTATGACGTAGACTATATATCCGAATGTCAAAAAAAGGACGAGCATTCTGTGCGGCAGTTCGTCCTATTTTACTTTACGGCCGCGATACGAGGCCATTAAGTGTAGAAGATACCCTTAAGTTACTAGTAATTAACCACAGATGTCTTAGGAATATTGGTCGCATCTGCTGGGATCACCGGGTAAGTAATGGTGAGGTTACATGCAGGGTATTAGGGAACGATGGCAAACCAGTTGATGAGGTTGTAAATCTTCATCGACTGAGATGGTTTGGCTGCATGTTACGTATGCCTGAACACCGATTACCACCACGCGCATTGCTGACTAGTGTTGTGGATGGTTAATATAGTGTGTGCTACTGATTTCGATAGATATAAGTAGTGTGTTTCATCAATCAAAAGTGAAATGTCTGGCGGCAGAATGTTAAAATGATCGAATGAAAGAGAAGTAGAACAGAAAATGAATGGTGTGGAAATGAAATAGCACTGAAGTCTGAAACGATTTATTGACATTTCGCAAATGAAGAATTTACTGTATGGTTCTCAGATTTTGCCAAGAGATTCTGTAATTATGTACTGAAATACGTTTGGTTGTTGTCGTTAACAATTTGTTTGACGTCCGCGCAACTATTGTAATCAGTGGTCGGAGACTCAGAGTGACACATCTCACAGTCGATCACAATGGCGTAGATGTATACTCTCTTCGTCTTCCATTAAACTGCGAGATTAAAATTGCTTTATACCCTTCTTTCTACCAACTAATTCGTTTTCCCTGTATCATAACCTTATATGAAATGTTTCTTTTACTACCATTGAAGCAACTGCTTCTATGAATTTTGTGTTCATCTCGTTGTGCTGATGAGGTATGGCAACTTGGACCGATGCATATATGTGCCTGGTCCAACCTTGTAGATGACTGACTGACTTATTTATGAGTATAATGTGAGCATCACGTCTTTTATATTTTACCATAGTTAATGTTTTCTTAGGCTTGGACCGTGTGTTATTTCACAACCCATGAACAATGAATGTCCTGTTCAGTCTTCTGTACACTAAAATATTTTGTTCAACAAGAAACTGGCTTTCGTTTATATCTAAAACATCTGAGACATAACCTGTGACTTCTAATTCAATAAGAGAAATATATCTTTTTGTCTGTTCAAACACATATTTTACTACTTCACTACATGGAAAATGATTGACATTGAATATTCGAATGGCTTTCTTCAGCTAATCTAAGTGCCTTAATCTTAAGCCATTCACTAAATGCGCCTAACGCATTATTAATTTCAACTCATTTTGCTTACCATAAATTCTCAGGAAAAACTTCCCAGGTATCCAAGATTGTGTCAGAAAATTCAGTCCTCAATATTGATAACCAAAACTAACTGCATATATCCATCGTCATTTTTACTTATGTTTGTTACCCTTCGTAGAGGACCATAGGCTGCCCACCAGGATTATCCATCCAACTCTACCCTTGACAATCCTTTTCAGTTGCCATTCATTATTTCAATGTTTGCTTCCGATTCCCGACTTAATATATTCCTTGGTCCTCCTCTTTTCCTTTTCCCTTCAGGATTCCAAGTTAGGGCTTGACTCGTGATCCAGTTTGATGATTTCCGCAATATATGTCCTATCCACCCCCAGCGTCTTTCCCTAATTATTTATTCAGCTGGAAGCTGGTTTCTTCTCTACTATAGTAAGTTGTTGCTGATGGTACCTGGCCAACGGACATTGAGTATCTTACGTAGACAATTATCTATAAATCCCTGTACTTTTATGATGACGGTTGTAGTGGTACTCCATGTTTCAATACCGTACAATAGAACTGTCTTGACGTTTGTATTGAAAATTCTAACTCTGATGTGTTGAATGGCGGTTATTTGTGGTTCCATATATTGTCCTTGCTTTTCCAATCCTTGCCTTTACATCTGTATCAGATTCTCCTTGTTTATCAATGATGCTACCCAGGTTTGTGAAGCTTTCCACCTCTTCCAGAGCATCTCCATCGAGCGTGACTGGTTTGGGGCTCGCTGTGTTGTATTTCAGGATCCTGCTTTTTCCCTTGTGAGTGCTGTGACCTACTGCTGTAGAGGCTGCTTCTACACTGGCTGTCTTCACCTGTATTTGTTGCTGTGTATGAGATAGAAGAGCTACGTGAAGTCCAAATCGTCTAGTTGCATCCAAGCTGTCCGTCCACCTTTCCACAAACTCGTCTATTGGTTGACTAGGTGTTTAGAACTAATTCATAAGAAACTAGCTCCCTACAGTCTGAAGGATAGTTTCGAATTCGTACAAAGTTTGGACAGTCTAAATGCTTCTGATGAATTCATGATATCTTTTGATGTCTCATCTCTCTTCACAAAGATCCCTTTGGCTGATATACTTATGGGAAACCTGGAACAGAGAAAGTTAAAGCATTCTATCAAAGAAACCACTCTTCTGTAGATATATTGATGACACATTTGTCTGCAACATTCATAAGCATTCTTCGTACCTACTCGATCTGATTAACAAAGCACACAAGGATATCCATTGTACTATGGAATATGAAGCAGAAAATAAATTCCATTTCTTAGGTATTGGAATCAAACGAGCCTCAAACGGCATATTACAAAGACACATTCACTGCAAAACACAAGTTTCTGTCCAATGAGTTACAAAAAGAGACTTGTATGGACCCTTTCTGACCACGCTCGTAAACTTTGCTCTACGGAAAGCCTGGGAGAAGAACTTGCCTTCATTACAAATTACCTGCAAGAAAATGCATATCTGACGAAATTCATAGAGAAGTGTTTCATAACCAACGTCCGTGTTAAATACTATACAGTATCAAAGAAAAGCTGCTTCTTATATCTGCTCTTCAAAGGATATGACATTACTGGAATAATTAACCACAGGATAAATGTCGTGTTGGAGGTTGCTTATCCATCAGTGAGACCGACGACGTTGTATGAAATTGACAGGTCCTCTTTTCTCTGTACCTCCAACTGCATTCACGTACGTGCCAAAGCATATACATTGGGAGAACAGAGAGAAAAGTACATGTTCACATTTCCGAGCATGTTTCAAAAAAAGTGAGACTGAAATACAAAATGGCTGTAAAGAGTGCAATAGCTCGGCATTTATTTGACACCGGGCACACCACTGACACTCTACAAACTTTTAAAATTATTAGCACACAAAAGAACGCATAGTCTGTTTGGTTTGCAGAGGCAATAGCAATAAAAAACTTAAACCTAATTTATGTATCCAGAAAGAGATGATAGTAACCTTAGTAAATTATTTTTGTCATTATCATTATTTTATTAGTGTCAATTTTGTTATATGGTCTCATTTTATGTAAACCAAATCAATTACTTCACGCATACGTTTTCGTTCACTTGATTAACTCTTCATATCCTGTTCAGTTATTACGTAACTTATCAATCTTTAATTCCAGTAATCTTATTTCAACCCTTCATAACCTCTAAAACTATCACGCAATCTATTTTACCTGTCTACGGACCTTATTTGATTAATCCATCACCCTCTTCTTATGTTTTTAATTCCGACTCCATAGGACCTCTAACATGTTCTTGAATATATATATATATATATATATATATATATATATATATCAACTGTTTCACATTATATCTCACCTGAATTTTGGCTTTCAATACATTTATGTTTGTAAGCAGCTGATGAGAAACGACGAAATATAATGGATTCACAGTATTCTGCATCAATGCTTGTTCTGGCTTAATTCAAATTAATATCCATTTTATTCCGTGCTTGTCATGACGTGTGGAGGTCTTCATAATCATCCAGTCAACCACCAGAAAAAAAAGAAAGAAGAGTAAGCAACCTTGTCTGACTCCGGTCCTCAATTGCAATGCGTCTGTCCTCTATGCACAACTTTGCAGTGTAGTACGTCGTATGAATTCCGCATGGTGTTGACGATCTTCTCAAGTACACCATGGTGTCGAAGAACGTCCCACAAAACTTGCCTGTTGATCTCAAAGCTGTACATCTACTGAATTTTTTATCCGGTTCAGCAACACTGTTGGAGACGTTTCCTAGTACCGATAGTAGTGTGGTGCCTCTTTATTTCTCACATTTACTCCGATCTCCTTTCTTTGGTAATTTGATAAGATATCCTTCTTCCCAATCTGTCAACACTTGTTCTTCTTCTCAAATCTTTCTGAATAGAACGTGGAGTATGTTTGCAGTTGCTTCTATGTCAGACTTCATAATCCAGGTGGTATATTATCAGGTTCTGATGCTTTCCCACTCTTGATTTGTCTGATGGCCATCCTGATTTTTTCGATCATTGGTGGAGTGACATCTACGGGAAGGTCTGTAGTTGCTGCTTTGATATTCGATGGATTCAATGAAGCTGGTCTATTCGAGAGTTCCTCAAAGTGTTCTACCCATTTGTACCTCTGTCATTGAATTTCAGTGATTAACTTGCCGTGTTTGTCTTTGACTATTCTCTCTGATTTACAATATTTCCTTACCAGTTTCTTCATCATTTCATACAGTCGTTTTATATTTCCTCCTCTTACAGCTTTTCCTACTGTCGTTGCCAGCTCTTCCCCGTATTTCTGCCTTTCGGCTGTTGTTAAATGATGTCTTCTTTTTCTTTCTTGAGTCATGCACAGTGTTTCGATAGAAATCCATTCCTCATGGTCATGTTTCTTGCAACTCAGCACCTCCTGACTTGTTGCAGTTATTGCTTCCTTAATTCATTTCCAGTTGTTCTCCACAGTAGTTTTTTTCTTCTTTGAATAGATCTTGTAATGCTATGATCCTGCTGCTGAGTGCTATTTTAAATTCGTAGAGTATGCCCGTGTCTCGAAGGAAAGTTGTGTTAAACCTTTTTAATGTTGTTTGTCTTGTTCTCCAGTGCTTCTTTAGTTTTAGTTTCACCGTAAAAAACAACCTTGCTTAAAAGATGCTAACCAGTCATTCATAGTAAATATAATATCCAGTATAAATACGCGCCATTCCAACTGCTATATCCCTCTGCAGTGAAACTTAACGGGAAATTTACAATACCTACGGTGTATTTTCCATAGCGCTAAAAGCAATAGAAAATTAAGAAGAGAAATATGAGATCTGGTAATCACAAGCATGAGTCGACACCAAATTTATGTTTTAGAAGAAGATTGCTTTTCACAAACATATAAATACAATTACATACCTAATATGTAATAAGTCATCACTGTTTCTGTAGTTTTTATTAAAATTTGAAATGTTATATAAATCAAATACGATCACCGAAAGTGTAAAATAACTTGAAAAATACACACAATACTAAAATCACAAGACAGTAGAAAAAATAATAAGATTGAAACTAATAACTTAATTGAATAACAGACACTACAACTACCATGAGATCTGTTTATCTATTTAGATGAACATAAATTTAATAAATCTCACTGAATATAACATGTAATTTAATTTATATTTTATGTATTTTTTTAAGACTGTAGGAAGTGTTTTATGTGCAACGGTAACGACATTAGTGAGCTATCAAAATGCATATATAGTTCAGTTTACTGGCTGTGGTTTTGTATGCTTGTTCGGTAAGTAACAGTCCAATTTCAATGTCGAATAGTTTTAATAATGAAACCATATAGTGACAAGATTCTGACAGGTTTTCATCATCAAAATTAAGATTAGAGCTTAAACATTACTGATCTGTTATCTTACTAAAATACTTTTAAGGGTATGTTGTGAAATTTAGCAGTGTTGAGGTTTACCTAGAAAATATTCAAAATAGTTAAGACCTAGCAGTTATAAGTTACAACACAACTGAGCAAATTTAAAACTATTAAAATAAGTATAATCCTGTTCTCACATCCATAACAAAGTGTACTTATGTGAATTCTAATTAAAAATACTTCTGAAACACCAGAGCCCTGAAAAATTATACTTTAGTGGAATTTAGTAGGCGAATTCTGATATATTGTTAGACGTATTTCGATAGATTATCATGTGACTAAATTGGATAATTTATCAGGTTTTAGTATATCAGGAGCATCAAACCTACTGTTGTAGCAATAATTCATATAACAGTTAGAATATCTGTAAACTAAGAGATTAACAAAAACAAGGCCTATTAACTAATAAAAGATCACGTTACTAATTAACATACAACCTTTAGTGACCTTAGTGTTCGGATAATTGTTTTCTTGTATTTCTGAAATTATCTATTTAGAATCCATTTAAACCATGATTGTACATGGTATTCTATTCCTCTCAGATCAAGTTGGCTTTTTTTATTTTTATCAAAAAATGAACTGAAATATCGTACGATGTCACCTTGAAAAATAACTTAAGCACCGTATGTCACAAAATATCACGTCCATGTTTCGATGTATCAGTAGTAGCTCATAGAATTTGCTTTCTAAACAACAACCAAATTATGTAATTTCTTTCGTTTTTTCTGTTATTTATTGCGATAGCTCTAGAAAAGTTAAAAATATTCATAAATAGATTGTTCTTGGGATTTCATATTGTTGGGACTTAGATACTAAGAAAATGTGGAATGAAATTCATTCTTGTGAATATTATCCACTCAATAGTTTTAAAATATGTAATCATTAGATGTAAATTATGCTTGAACATTTAGCTGGGATATAGTCTGACAGCTTAGTTTAACAAGACGTTTGTAAATAAATACTAAAAATGGTCATTTAAATTCCTTTTTATTGTTCAAGAAAAGGTTTACTAAGTTTTTGATACATAAATAAAAGAAAAGAGGTAACTGCAGTCAACCCGAAAAATGTTCAACGTAATGATTTGTTCATAAAGAATCTTGGAAAACCATTTCTTAAGATGCGATCAACAGTCTTGTTTGGCTATACTAAACACCTATCGTAAGCAGAGGAAATTTTTTTCAAATATATGACTGTTTGATGATGAGTCCCATGGATGGATTAACTATTACACTATAATTTATTTTCCTTCTTACCTATTCGATTCTACGGTACGACTGTTACGGATTTTCTGAGTAAAAATAATGTTGCTTTAAAGTCTTACCTTTTGTTAAATGATATACAAATATTTTAATGTGATAAAGTAACTTGCTGGTCATTTCTCACGCTTAATTTTGTATTTTTTTTCTTGATTGTTAATAGCATTCTTTCTTGCCTTATGGATTAAAGATCAAAAGATGCCTGAAAAGGTCAACCGTTGTCAACTGTGTACTGATACCTGTCGAAGTTTAAGAATACCTCAGCCTATTAGTGTAACTGCTGAAGAACTCGAAAGACTTAATCAAGCTAATCCAAACAATTAAAGAAACACTCGAAAAAAACAATGCTAACATGATTATTTTAATCAACTAAGCCATAGTTAACTTAGGTTCTTTGAAAACATGAACAATCTTTTCCTGCTCAACAACTATCAATCGTTTTGTTCCTTTTTTCCTTCGTTATGTTTACTACAGAAATTATTGAGCTTACCTAATTGTCTATGTGAATTTTATAATATACAGAACATTTTTTTCTTCTAAAAACCATCAGATTTATAAAAAGACTCTTAAATAGGCAGGAAAATAACGCACTTTCAAGTATACATAAATATTTCATGTTTATACCATCTTTGTTTTTATTTGAAACTGTGTTTGTCAATGGATAATCTTTTTTTAATTTTCTTGTTTTTATGCTTTATTTCTTATTTTTTTCTTTAACTGGGAATAATTCAAAAATCACTGTTATTGCTAATTTGACTCTAATGCTTTATGTTTTAATTGATTAATATGTGATTCATTTCTAACATACATTAGCGAACATTTTCATACTGAAGTAAGAAATATATTGTTATATTATAAATGACATTATTTGCTTATATACACAAAAAATCAAATCCAGTGAGTTAGCATCTTTACGATAAAATAGTTCGCGTAGATTTCAGTTGTTGAGACCATGAGTCGATTGAAGCTAGACCACCATGGAAAACCTGGAAGCACTGGACAGCCGTTTCGTCCTAGTATGGGACTCCTCAGCAGTGCGCATCCACGATCTCGCCTCGTGGGATTCGAATCCAGAAGTAGTACAAACTTTTCTCTGTTACTCCCATTTTGTTTTAAATGTTAGTTACCAAGGAAATCTCGAAGGAATTATGTAACAGCATAGTTGCAGCACAGTTGGTGTGATTAGACCCCCACGAATATGGATAGATGTAATGTAGGACATGATTTACATACACTGAAGTATATGATATCTTAGATGAAGTCAATTATATAATAATGAGCTGAATGGTAAATTGTTTCGATATCATCACCCTTATAAAAATGTTTTATTATTTTAAAAAAAGGTATTTTAGTTAATCAGAAAAAAGCTTAGTACCTGGAACCGTCATTATGGGAGCTGAAATTTAGTATTCATCGTTTTAAAGGTGATCTAAAGTAAAAATGTGTCTTCTGAGGTATTTCAGTTTTTGACTAGGGTCTAGATAATCAAGTTTCGGACTAGTTTATAATTTTGCTGACTTTGAAATGATACTACTGTTTTCTGTGATGCCATTTAAAATATATGACAACATATTATTACTTCTTTAAACTAAAATGTGAATTTCTTAACAAAATCAGTGGGATATTTGAAGGCTTTTTCTTCTCTCAGATGAATTATAGTGGATGAATAATAACCAATACTGACAATCTTACATTGGTAAATGAGGTCAGGGAAACGTTTTCATAAATAGTTTCCGTTGAATATTTCATGATAACATCTTTGTTTTTATTATGACTTAAGTGACTCATATAAAAACACTGAAAAAGAGGTTGATAAACAAAATGTGAACTTATCATTTCGAACCTGGCATATGTTTAAAGTTAACTAAAGTATTCAAGTTGCAATTTACAAAACAGATTATTATATCAAGTAGCTACAATAAAAGTAGGAAACAACGTAGATACAGTAAATACCATTATTTGTTGTTCATAACCTAATAGAAGATCGATAATGTGTTTATCTGGTTGGGAAATTTTGCGAGATACGTAGATGCTCGACATAATTTGAATAATTTATAGAAATGAACTGATGGTTTACTAGTTAACTTGCTTCGTAAACCGACACTGTAAAATCATCAGGGTCTCAGCTATTCATAAGTCCACATAGTACATAATTCTGTTAGGTGTAACACAACATCCAAACAAAGAACATTTGCAGTAGTTTATCCATGAAACAGTTGTTTCTTTATGTAAATTGTTAATGAGTTGAAATCTCTTTTGGTTTATTTTATAATTTTAAGGAACTGCTGTAAAATCAATGTCTGCAACGTGATACCATTATGGTATGTTCATAATATAACGTCTCTCAGTTTCGATATAGTGTAATGCTCATTAGTAGAACTGCCGAACGGAGATGAAAATTTACAAAGTTTAAGATATGATAACAGCAACTGAATTAAGACATGTTCTCCGCCTTAACGCTCTCCACGTACTCCGAATCCATTCTAATGAGGTGTAAAAACTATAACCTAGAATGTAATTAGTTTACTTCACGTACAATCGTTTCATTTGGAACTCTATTGATTTTCAAAGCTAACAGATAAATTTATTCTACGTATTATTACATTCTTCGCTGCAAATATTTAAGTAATTAAGCCTATGATCTTTACATTTTCGTTCACCTGAAATTGTTTAACAAACTCCTGATCTGTAGGTACGTCCATCTGACAAACCCCGTCCTGAATTCCACTGCTAGCCACCATTTATCTTTGCTTTTAATCACAATATTTATTGAAAATAGACTGTCCATCATACGTTTAAAAATATACGTTTTTGATTGGTCATAGGGCAAACGGATTACGGGTAAATCGAACACATTTCACACCGTTAAAAGTGATATTCCCCCCTTTCAGTTATCAACATCATAAATACGCGCCCTTTTGATAGTTGTCCTTATTAGCGTACACCCTTTTGCTCGCACCCTTTTTGGTGTGAACCTTATCATTGATGCTTACACTTCTCACCTCTTCTAGTGTGCTTGCCTATTGCATATCTTTTGATTCTATTAATTATTAACAATACACTCTGCACCAACAGCTCGTGTTCTGGCATCCAAGTATTCTCAAGTAGAGTCGTAGTGATACTGGGAGAATTGGCCTACTAAAATACACAGTTAACGAGATATTTTGGAGTAGTATAGTGGAATTATCCACCACAGGTTTACATTGTTGAGAAACAAACTGGATAAATAATATAAGGGGTGGTAATTTCATTATTCCTGTAGAGATGTTAAATTCTGGCGACCCTACTTTCTGGATAAGTATAATAATAAGACTATATAGCTTCTGCTATGTATCTTTTGTATCCAACTTCGCTCTGCCAAATCCATTATTCTTAGTTTAAAAAAGTTAGCCAAATAGAGATAGTGCATAAATACTATCAATTACTGAATTTTTCATGATACAACAAAGCAATCTGTATAAATATGAATGGGCTGACGTTCCACTTATAATCAGTCATCTGTTTAAAATACGAATGAATGTAATACACTCGTTAAATATCTTCATTCATATCACTCTACTTAATTGTTGAATACTTTTGTGAAGATCTCTGTTTTATGAAAAGAAAACTAGATCCTGATAAAATTGTTCACTGTCTTTTGACTTCCAATAATTGTTGGACTCACATCATTCTATAATGGTAACTATCTTCAAATTACAATATATATTTAAAAATACTAGCACTCCAAGACGTCGACAAGTAATACGAAGTTCCAAAATGGAATGCCTTATTGTCTAAATAAGAAAATAAGAATTCATTTCACTTGATATCTTAATGCAGCCAAACTAATATGGTATGAATAATTTTTAAAAAAAAATTAATAAATCAGAACCTATAAAATTATTTTTTAAGTTAAGAGCGTAGTTGGCAGAAATCTCAATCTAAAACAATCTGTTTTAACAACGTTTATATTGCTCAGCTAACATTTTAATCCGTTACACCCTTTAAATTCTCCTACATGTAAATTTCATTAGGAAGTATTAACTATTAAAGTTTATTGATTTTAGTTTCATGAATAAGTCATTATATATGTGAAAATTATATTTGAAATAATCTCAGTGATTGAAATTTAAATAATTCCAACATTTCGTCTAGCAAACTTGTCTGAACTTCTTCAGGGTAATAATCAAAATCATCAATGAAATATATAGCGTTTTATCAATCAAATCAGATCAAATCTATACTGTGTCAATGTTGATTTTTAATAAATAGGATAACATGAATCAGTTAAATGCGAAACATGTGAAAAGTTCACGATATCAAAATAATAGGAAGAATGTATTTGTAAAATCTCAGCGAATGAATTTCAAGTAAATCCAACGTTTCTCCTGGCAATCTGGTCCAAGCTTTTTCAAGGAAAATATAATCAAACAACAAAATTATCGAATATAAATAGGTGCATAGCTCTCTGGTTTACTGTATACTGAATAAGTCATCCAATCAACGTGAACAATGTTTAAAGTAGGTATTTACATTAGTGTGTAAGAGACATGTGGTGTGAAACGAAAAGTAATAAGATAACAGATTGTGTGTAGACGTAAGTGATCAGAAAAGAAATTTCATTCACTATATATTGTCTTCGGTCTGTGTCTATCAACAAAAACATCATTTTATATATAATATGAACCAAAAATGTCACAGCATGCATAAAATGAAGATAAATAAACAAGATAAAAGATTAAATTCAGAGAGGAATGTATTTGTAATTGAAAGTTTGTGTTATTTTAATGTTCCAGTCAATTGTTTAACATATTCAGATAAGGTAACTGATTTGAACCGTTGAATGTATTATCTATCGATTAGTTAATATGATGTAGATAGCTAGAATGGAATAAGGAGTTCAGGTTTACTTATTAATTATTAGCTGCCATGGGACAGCTAGTTGTATTCCATCTCTCCTATTAATATTGTTTGGATTAGCCCATATATGTAGGCTTCGGTTGTTGGTCGTTCTTTGTAAGAATTAAAGCCTTTCTGAATGACTCTTGCGCCATTGAAATCAATTGTATGACCCGATTCTATTGAGTGTAATGCTATCGCTGATTTGTTCTCAAGTTTTCTTACATCATCTGAGGATTTAGGAATGTGCTTTAAGAACAGTTTGTGTTCCTTCACCCTCACATTCAGTTGCCTTGATGTTTCACCTACATTCGTTGCATTACAGTCATTACATTTGATTTCATAAACACAATTCTGTTGTTCATCTTTGTGTATTGGATCTTTGATTCTTACTAGTTTTGATCTTAGAGTATTGTTTGTTCGAAAGAATACTCTTATATTTTGAA